TCCAAATGTATATAGATGTGTTTGGGTTTTAAATTTAAAAAATCATAATTAATATATCATAGAGGAATCTATGATATCTATGGTGGAGAAATCCTTCCTCAAGTGGGGGAGTTTAAGTATCTTGGGGTTTTGCAGCAATGCGGTCGATGTACCGGTCTGTTGTGGTAAAGAAGGAGCTGAGCCGTAAGGCAAAGCTCTCGATTTACCGGCCAATCTACGTTCCTACTCGCACCTATGGTCATGAGCTTTGGGTCATGACCGAAAGGACAAGATCCCGGATAAAGGTGGCCGAAATGAGCTTTCTCCGCAGGGTGGCTGGGCAATCCCTTAGAGATAGGGTGAGAAGCTCGGTCACTCGGGAGGAGCTCAGAGTAGAGCCGCTGCTCCTCCACATCGAGAGGGGTCAGCTGAGGTGGCTCGGGCATCTGTTCCGGATGCCTCCTGAACGCCTCCCTGGGGAGGTGTTCCGGGCACGTCCCACTGGGCGGAGGCCCCGGGGAAGACCTAGGACACGCTGGAGAGACTATGTCTCCCAGCTGGCCTGGGAACGCCTCGGTGTCCCCCCACAAGAGCTGGAGGAAGTGTCTAGGGAGAGGGAAGTCTGAGCATCTCTGCTTAGACTGCTGCCCCCGCAAACCGGCCCCGGATGAGCGGAAGAAGATGGATGGATGGAATATCATAGAGTTTTAAAAGTTGTATAGAATTATGGGGTCATGCCAATGTCATAAAGTAAGGTAAGGCCCTAAAGGTAAGGTAAGGTGGGCCCTAAAGTTACCCTGTTAGATGGCTAGAATGATAGAGAGAAGCACCAGTTGTTTGGGCTTCTTTTGTGAGTATGTGGCTTCCCTTGTTGTCACATATACGATAAAGGGAGGTGAGCCACCACTCATTCTAGTTGTAAAACTATTATAGCTGAGGCTTCCTCTCATGGTGAGAGCATTTAAGGCCACCACTCACTCATATGAAATATGTTATCAGCGGAGAGTTAAGTGGCATAACGCCATTCTAGAAAGAAGAATGGAAATGTTTATGCTACCACTTGCTTTTTTTCCTACTCACACCTGTGTTAACCCACGGGCTATTAGCAACCTCAGGGTAGAGTAGTTGGTCTCTCTTTAATTTTTTTTTTTTTTTTTTTTTTTTTTTAGAGTAAAGACTGAAGCTAGAGCTCAGGACCATCTTACATTTTTTGGTCCTGACTCCTGAGTACATAGCCCCCTTGAGCTCTGTTTGGGTTTTCAGTAGGCTGAGCAATACTGCAGCTCCTCGTATGGAAAAAAAAATAAAAAATCAATTTCTCGTAAGGCTGTGGCTACTCCAAGTCCTCAGGTAGATCTATGCTTACAGGCTGGTCCTCACCAGGGCCGCCTCTGTAGCTGGGCAAGGGTATACTAGGGATAGTGGAGGCGTTCTGCAAAAGAATTTCTGCCTCTGTTCCTTCACTTTTTGAATATAGGTTTTTTAGCATTTCTATATGACAGGCTCCTCCCACAAGAAGCCGTTAGGCCAAGGCCTACCCCTTTTTCTGTATTCTGGGGCAAGAAGAATAATGCAGCTTGGTGCAGAGGAATGATTTATAAAGGCACTGGGTTAGGCCTCAATAAGGCCTCCGTGGTACAATGGGAAACGAAACAAACACCCCAATGAATATCTCTAATAATAGCAATACAAATACGTGTTTTTTTCCTGTGGGACGGGAGAAGAAACATCAAAGCATCTCTATTATTGTGCGGGATTCTGTTCTCAGGGAACAGAGGTTACAGTCGTAACCTAGACGTTTTCAGACTCTTTAAGAAATGAGGTTATGTGCAATGTACATTATAAGCAAATTTAAGAGTTTATAGCTGCCCTATATAATGCATCATCAAGTGTGTAGTCATCTTCATCCTCATTTAGTACAACTTTCACTTTTCACTTTTACTTATTCCAAGTCTTTTTGAAAAAAGGGACATGTAACATCTTAGTGTGATTTTACACTTTCAGGGATGTATGAATTTTGACATACAGTTTGTGATTTCGTATTGTGAAGTGGGTCAACGTGTTCTAAAGAACATAACATTTGCTATACAGAATTCAAGTGTCATTAAAAAATAACAGCCTGTTTATCAAAGCAGAGTAAACTGGGTTTCCACGAACTGCCTGAAAGCATGATTCCTCACAAACTGACTGGGATTTTGGTCAGAATGTTTGAGTGCCTCCGTCTCAGATAAGCAATGAATCATGTTCTCAGTCAGACATACTTATCTTAGGCTCTATTCACTTCAGCTCACCAAACTGATATGCAATGAGCAAACAATAGCTTTCACTAACAATCACAGCTTCCTGTTGGACAGGCCCAGTCTTTCCATGCGGAAACCAGCGTGCAAAGAGAAGATCCTGTGAGGTTCTCTTGTGCAAGGAAAATAAAAAAAATGATTAAATACTTGAAACTGTATGCTTTATAGAGACTCTTAAAACCGTTTTATAATAGTTTAAAATTTTGGGGTCAGAAAGATTTTTTTGTTGTTGTTTTGAAGGTAGCTCTTATGCTCAAAACTAAAGTAAAAACAGTAACAGGTTATTACATTACATACATACATAGAATACTGTTTTCTATTGTAAATATATTTTTATATCTAATTTATTAATGTAATGGCAAAGCTGAATTTTCAGCATAACTCCAGTCTTCGGAGTCACATCATCCTTCAGAAATTATTCTGATTTGGTGCTTAAGAAACATTCATTATTATTATCAATGCTAAAAAAGTTGTGCTAATTAAGATATTTGTGGAGATTATGATAAATTTGTTTAAGGATTCATTAATGTTTGATAAATAGAAGGAACAAATGAAAAGAAACATGGCCCCATACTTTTGAAAAATAGTGTGTGTGTGTGTTATTTAACACATTTAACTTAATTTTCGGTTTTAATATGATCACAAGTTTAAAGTTCAGAGGGTTGCAGAAGAAACTACATCAAGTTGTTTTATCTCAAGAGATCAATAAAAAACATGTTAAACCGTTCAAAATGACCGCCTTTAATTATCAGACTATAAGTAAATAAGTATTTCTATCTAATTTAAATATGTTTTTAAATTCTCTAATATCAGATCGCCAACTTGTTCTCATGGTCTGTATAGTCCAGAGAAAATGAAGTAAATCTTCAGATTCTGCATGGCTCAGGGACTTTCGCTTGGCAGGCCATTAGACAGATGGAGGAAGAGGCAGTGACTGCTCCCGACTACAGATGAGAGCGTGACCATCTGCACCTGCTTCAGCTATACACTTCAGTGCCTCTGCCGAAAAGTGACTCGATTCAACACCACTTGCCAATCAGTCAATTCTGAGATTATCGCCATCAGCCACATGACCATGTAATATTTGTATCCATTTCTTTTGTTAGGATTTTGACATTTATATATCATACTTCAGTCACCCTCACTCCTACCATATTGATATCAGTCTGTTATTGAAACCCTACATTGTTCACTGGAATGTTGAACTGAGCTATTAATTATAATACACAGCTATAGACAGTGCCCAGTTATAATGGTGTCATACCTGCCCACGAAATTTTCCAGGACAGAGCTTTTGCCCGCGCTCTGCCCCCCGACCACCGCGATCTGCGGCAGGTCCAGGTCGCAGCTCTGTCCGATGGCACTGAAGGCGTCCTGCAGGCGGTTCACCAGCGGGATGAGATCCTCCATCCCCCGGTTGCCCATGGTTACGAAGCCGCGAGGATGCAGCGCTTGAATCACTGGGCTCAGCAAACCTTTGTTATATATGACATATATATTAAAAAAAAATAATAAATAAAAATAGAGAGTTTGAAACAACTTGCCAAATTTAAATAAGGTCAGTTTTTTTATCCAGCCATAACGTTAGTACGTTAATCTTAATCAATTATTAGTGACATACAAAACCACTATCACATTCCTACTGCGTTACTTTACAATATAAAGTTTTGTTTTGTTTTCACAAAGTGTATGTGATGAACATAAAATCAGTTAACTGTTGTAATTACCTGTTGGTTTATCCGAGCGTTGGCCGTCCTCGCACGCAGACTGTGCAGTTCAGAGTAACGGCGCTCGTGTGCAAGACACTGAGCAGAGACTGAACTTAAAAACACACACCCCTTTCTATACACGACGAACCGAAAGAAACTAGAAGGTGATATATAAAGAAACCAAATAAACTATCTTCACTAAAACTCAACTTTTTAATCATCGCAAAAATCTCCGTTTTAATTTGTCCTGAACTCAACTTGTGGTCGAAACCTGACAGCCAACTGTCCGTTTTTTGTTCAGCGCGCTTGCGCGTACTCGCGCAAACGCCACTCCTCTAGGGGGGATATAAATACAGATTTGGTGCTCCTCAACAGAATGCTCTTTTTACTTATTAGCGCTTGTTATTAATGTATGAGAAACAATTTTAAAAAAAAATCAGAATTCAGTTATAAGGAAAATGGCAGTTACGTACCAGCAGTGGCGTGCCCCTTTTGCTTAATGCTTTCACTTAATGCTTTCACAATCTAAAAACGACACACCCGAAAGAATACATGTAAAATCTGTAAGTATTCATAATATATATATATATATATATATATATATATATATATAAAGCAAAACTCTGTCTATTCAGTGAAAGCTAAAACTAAAAAATAACAAAAACATATAAACACGTGGTTACTTCTATCGATCACTCATATATTTGATTAGCGTAAACACATACTATTATTATTGTATAATATTATCAGAAACGAGGATATGGTGCACCAGAATTTCAATACATGTAAAGTGGTATATAGAGCTGAATATAATAGAAACTAGGACATTTGTGCAAATCTAGGTAGTAGCTAATATATATATTTGTATGGCCTTTCACCCCTTGATAGGGCAGTGAATGCCACTGGAGGGTGCATCCACCCTCATGTCAGAACAGTAGACTCATCCAGTAAAAATAACACTGCACAGCTATTATAGGGTTGCCAGATAGTTTGATTCTGTAAAAACACTAGCGAATTTCTCTTTATAGCAGTACATTTAATTTATATTTTTGTCAACCAGTAAAAATTTTATTACATTACAAATACTACAATATTAAAAATGAATATATTACAAATATTGTAAAATGAATATTACAAATATTACATTATATGAACATAGTTAATGTTATTATAAGGCATATCTCAGGAAACAAACATTTAATGTCAAAGAATTTATGATTATTTTATTATTTCTGTTTAAGGACCATTACAATTTTTCTTTGTTTGAACATGAAACCAAAGCAAGATAAAATGTACTCTCTTTTTATAGGGGAGTCGTATTATAATCTGAATATAAAGTATAGTCCCTATATTGCCATTATTTGTCCTATAAAGTAAGACACTTACAAAAGATTTGCATGTTGTATTGATAATTTGGGTTAATGAAGCCTTTTGATGTTAGCATTTGCATTTAGATAGCATACAGATCATCAGCGATAATTGTTAGTATAGTTTTAACCCATTCAAATACTTTTGAACTTTTGAAATGTTACTTTGGTGTTTTCTTTAAAAGCGCTGGAAGAGGAGGGTAACATCTTTCACAAAATGATCTTGATGTGTGCGAATAAATCATTTATAATAAATGCCGGAATATTCCATAAAAAAATGTCATGGTGACTTTAACGGTCAATCAGATGATCTCTTCCTTTATAAGTAGACGTTTTGTTGTTTTCCAAAATAGGATGCAATATTGACCAGACTAAATGCCAACACGAGACTGGGACTGGAATAATTCCTTGAAAATGCAGCTCATAAGTGAAATGAGCCATTTATTTTATCTCTCCACACCTTTAGACGACTTTCAGGTCATTCAGCATTGCAGTAATGTCTATTTGAGGCACACATGGTGCAGTCTGGGTGTTTGCACGTAGTGTCTTCTGCAGGTCTTTTGCTGTCTGCAGTAATGTTTGTGGAACGCTGTGAGGTTTGTGTTCCTCTCCTGGACTTTTGCAACATAGTAGCACCTCGTTGACTTCACCCTCGATTCCACGAGAGAACACACGCGGGAACACGGCTTGAACACGTTCAAGAACTGACTTCCTGAGAGCCGAGTCTCGACACACAAGGTTCAACATAAATAGTCCTTTGGGATGAGAAAAAGTAAGATTGATCATGGAAAACAACCACTAATTACAGCGCAAATGTATATTTTACTAACAATCTCAAAATCAGAATTTCAAAACTTCTTTTAGTGGTTACCTCGAGGGGTTAATAAGCTGTAAACGTTCTTCAGAAGTGATGTTTCTACAAAGGCAGGTGGAGGGCAGCTCATGCCCAGGGTCGTGTCTTTGCTGTCAACGTCAAACATGATGACATCAAAAGAATGTCCCCCTATAAAGAGTGCAGAACATTTTTATATACTTTAGAAGGAACCGGTTGTCTGTCTTGAGCAAAGCAGCTAAAACCCAAATCCATGCCTTTTCCATAAAATAGATGACCAATAGGCCATCGAATATTGTTGTGGAAACAGGTAGCCTTAAAATCAGAAAGGTTTAGAATTAGAACTACGAGTCTAGATGATCTCTCACCCTGGCTCTCCAGTGTTCTGATGTGCTCCAGTCCGTCTCCAAGTATAACTTTCAGCCTCTCGTCGTTCTGAAACCCAAACCAGGTCTGAGCCACTTCCAGCACTGCTGGGTCCAGTTCAACCACTTCCACCCGTGCACAACGCACAAAGTCATGAAGAAACTGGGGCAGACCCCCGCCACCTAGTCCCACCAGTAACACGGAAACTGGTTGATCTGTTGGAGAACATGTGACCGACTAATCAGAACAGACTTTTTTGTGAATTATGCATATCGTTAAGGGGGAGTGACATTCATCACCATAAAAGTGGTCCATATGATTAATGCTCGTCATTGCAGTTTTCAGACCTCATACAATAGCTTTGTGTGGGGAACAGAACGAAATCTACTAGTTATCAATTACCAAAGTTATCTTACATTCAATTTAAAGCAAATTGGCATTGGCTCTCATTTTTGTAATGTAGTAATCTAACATGCTGTGCCATTCTGTAAATTCTGGGTTCAGGCTAGAAGCAAAATTTAGGGAAGGGTAAAATTATCAGTGAACATATGCAATAAAGCATTAATAGTGCAACACTAAAATACACTTTTTTTTCAGGTTTCTAACTAACGTGAGAAGTGTGGTGGAATATGTGCATATGAATACTGTGATAATTAATTATGGTACTCGAATTCTCCCAATACATTGCAGGTGGTATTATGCAAATTAGTGTGAAGTGCTCCTGTGTATTTTTCTAATGATTTCAGATTTTCTTTATGATGTTTTTTTTTTTTGCATTTATTATCTTTTTGCGAAATGTATCATGTATAAATTACACAGAGCTATTATTTTTATATAATGTGGGGTGGGGGTTTATGTTTAATGAGGCTTTATATGACACATTGTTTTGAGTACAACATTGTTAACCCTAAAACCGTATTCTGGACAAATGTGGGCAAAATAGTTTTGATTTATTTTTTAAAAATGCTTCCCTTGATCGGAGCGGTACAAGACAAGCCTACTTTTCCTAAGTTTACCTCCTGAACACACAATTTTTGACTCAATTCTACAATGTTAAGTGGGTGAAAAAAACACCTTAATCTTGTATTTGTGTCAAAATGGGCACCCATAGAAATGAATGGGAAAAACTATAATTTAGAGCATTCTAAAATAAGCCAAAATAAGACACCAGGTGACAGCAAAGTCACTTCATCTTTAGGTTTTTAGCTCTAAGAACTTATTGGAATGATATTTTAATGTAGTTAATATATATAATAATAATAATAATAATTCATTACATTTATATAGCGCTTTTCGACATATATATATATAATAATTTACATATAAAATATTGTACGTTTTGAAGTAAATACTTTCTAAAAATATCCCCAAAATAAAAAAAAAACACCATAAATGGATAGAAAAAACTTTATCGAAGACAGTGATATAACATTTATAATAAATAAAAATTACGATCACACATGAGTCCTCTGTGCCTACATATGTCCACAATTATAGGATTAAGGGCTATAAAGTATATACGGTTTGAGGGTTAAGAATAATGGATTAAAAATATTTTTTCATTAAAAACAAAAGCCGAATAATAATCGACAGATTATTCAATTATCAAAATAATTGTTAGTTGCAGCCCTAGTGCACAGTGTCTTTTCAATAGAACATGTCTTTAATAATAAAAATCATGATTATTTTTTTAATATTGATATTATAATTAATAATAATCAGAAATCAGCATATTAGAATGATTTCTGAAGGATCATGTGACACTGAGTAATGATACTAAAAATTCAGCTTTACATTTTAAAATAGATTCAAATATTTTTTAATAATATTTCACAATATAACGGTTTTTACAGTATTTTGGATCAAATAAATGCAGGCTTGGTGACATTTCTTTCAAACTTTTGAAAGGTAGTGTGTCTATTTAGCCAGAATATAATAAATGATTTTAACATCAAATAAAGAACACACTTTAAATTAAAAGCATAACGATACAACCCTTTCCAAATGTAAATGCTTCAAACTATTTCTAAGCTTCTTAATGTTGGTACACTTACCTTTATTATTGATTGCATCCGTTCCTAGCATGGCAAAACCTGCCACCATGACTTCATGGTGTGTACAGCAAAGAAAACCCCTGTCCACACTCCGATCTTTAGCTTCCATTAAAGCAGGGGCTTCAGAAACAGATGCTTTGGCTTTTCTCTTGTTCTTCTTTTTATGAGTAGAAGAAGCTGGAGAAAGAAACAAAACCCTGACATAAGTCTTCAGTCTTATCTGTTAACATTGCAGAATTCAAACAGCTGTTTTCAGCATCCAGGTATTCTGTAACTGCACCTGTGGCTTTAGACTGGAGTCTGCTCTCTGACTGCACCAGCTGGGAATTATTCATGAAGATCAGCCGGCGATAGAGATGACCATCCTCTCCTCTCACATCCTCCACAGAGTACTCTCCCGTCAAAGCACTGAGCCCTCGTCCAACGACCTCCCTCCACCCCAGATCTCCTCCCACAGACAGGAATGGCACCTATACCACAGCAAATGTGACAGAGAGAAAGTGCATGAGTGAGAAATGAAGACAAGATAAAGAGCAATGCAGCTGCATGATATTCTAGCGCACCTGCTGATTGGCTGGCATTCCAGGAGGAGCGAGTTCCATCACCATTGGAGAGAGCTCTGATTGGACCGCCTGCATGTCCTCATACTCTTGATCTCGATGCATTGCCACAATGACCAGGCGTCTGAATTTTGCACTGGACGCTAGCTGAGTCCGACCTTCAGCTGAGCCATATAACCAATCAGACTCACGGCCCTGAGGAACTAAAATAAAATAAAAAATTTTTATTAATTATTATTTTTTATAAAAGCTGTTGTTTAATTGGCAAACACTTAAGGCGCACACAAGCGCCCTCACCCTCAGATCACTTGGACGTGGCTGTGGTTACAAGAGGTAAAAACAATATAAATACTGTTTGTTTTTTCACACAAACCGCTCGTTTCGTGTCTTAGGCCATCAATGTGTACTTACATTTACGAGTCATTGAATCATGTTTAATTTGGACTTGTCTGTGCATGCTCTTTGAGGTGGTGACCATAGACCTCCATTATATGACTGACAGACAACAACGGTTTGACCTAAAAATTTCAAAATTGAAAATACTGTGGAAACAAAGACACCTACATCTTGGATGCCCTTGATGTAAGCTAAAACATACCAAAAATTAATTTCAAAGTGAACTATCCCTTTAACGTTATTCCGTCCACATGACATTTTAACTAGTCTCGTCACATGATTCTCAGTTAAACTTCTTAAAATGCATTATTTAAAAATGTATATTTAAGTAATAAGTAAAAAAAAAATCCCCAAAAAGATAATTACTTTTGATGTGCCAGCCCGTTCTCCTCCCAAGGCGTCATATATCTGAAAGCGTAAACATCCAACGCACATGGCACCCTTTAGCGTCAATATGAGACGCAGTTATATATGGGCCAGAAGGCGCCTCCTAGTGGTCTAACCCTAACCCTACCCCAGACCTAAACCTACCCATACTCTGCACATGTTATATTGACCCTAAAGGGTGCCATGTGCGTTGGATGTCTACGCTTCTGCAAAAGCGTCAGTATATGACGTCTTGGGATGAGAATGCGTTGGCAGTTTTAACCTATAAGAATTTGTTATCAGTTGAAAACCTTATTTGTCACTGGCCCCTTTTTTTATTTTTTTTAAAATGGAAAAATGGAATATAAACAAACAAAAAAAAAAAAACAAAGACAAAAAAACAAAACAAATACTAGCTATGTCTCTTTCACACATAAAAGCCAAGCTACTTAAGACTGACCCCCATGCTATATCAAAAAAGTAGGTTTTTAACACCGCCCCTTATCACTGGCCCCTTAGCCTATGACAATGATAATAACAATAAAGAGGCAAAAGAACCAATAGCTCACCGATAAAGATGGCAAAGTGGTTACTCCGTGGCAGCTTGGCAGAAGGCAGGCTGTCCTGTACCGTCAGAGTGTATCGTGGCTTGCCGGTGGCTGCGTGGCACAGTGTGAGGGACTGTGTGCTGTTGGCATCTGTTCCACCTCTGAGCTTATGAAGCATTAGATTGTAGGCCTGCCTCTCCTTCACAGCAGACAACAGTTCCGGTACTGATGCGAGTCTAACCGGAGCGCCATCCTCCCCCTGACAGAGCTCAAGCACTGCAAACGGAGGCGCTTGGCGGAATTTGGTGCAGACCAGAACGAAAACAGGGAGGGCGAAGGAGGTGTCGGACACTTCATTCTGCTGTCCACATAGACAGTGAATTCGTACAGCCCAGCCCTGAGCGAAATGTTCCACGGCCAGCTTTATGACATGTTCCTGGGCTAATGTTACGCAAACGTACCGGCCCCCAACACTCAAAACTCTGACAACTTCTGCAAGCATCCTGCCTGCAAGAGCACCGTCCTCTTCTGAAGCCATGGCATCGAGCGTGCCCTTATCTAGGGCTGCCTGAAAGCTCCCGCTCTCAAAGCCTGTCTGGGTGGCATCCACCTGCTGGAAGGTCAGGTCAGGACGGCGCTCTGCGTTCCGCTGGTTCATGTGAGACACCACCGTCTCGCTGATGTCAATGTTGGTTAGCTGATGGTATCCAACATCATAGAGCTGTTCACTCAGCTCAGAGTTACCACAGCCGACCACCAACACCTGCAGGCCAACAGTTACAATTCTACTTATACGTTTACATAACACTTGTACAAACTATATATATAGGTTCCTACAGAATTATTGGTTGCTTAAAAATAGTTTTGTTATTATTTACCAAAAATATTGAAATACTCTCTAGCTTTTCTCTACCTCAGAAGTTTGAAAGAAGTAGAGAATCGTCCTTTAGAGTCAGATCATTGAAAGTGAAATTTAACTGACTTAAATTTTGGCCTGTTCATCATACAAAGCAGGGTTACGCCGAATGCCAATTGGCTTTATGCCCAGCTGCACTACTTCCTGAACTTCAGCCAGCTCCTTGTTTCCTGTCTGCCATTATTGGCCAAATTGATTAATCCAGGTGTGCCTGACCTCAGTAGTCATGGCAACAATAATCAGACACACCTGGATTAATCAATTTGGCCAATAATGGCAGACAGGAAACAAGGAGCTGGCTGAAGTTCAGGAAGTAGTTTAGCTGGGCATAAAGCCAATTTAAATATTCAAGCGCAACAAGACTCGAAAGAGGCACACTTCTGAAGCAGACGCTCATAAAGCCGCTTTTCTTGCGCTTGGACAGACATATTCACATAAAAAATACCTGTCTCGACTAGTGTTCAAATAAACATAGACTGTTATTTCTTGAGTGAACAAAAACAGTTGAGAAATAAAACACGTGACGTGTAACAGTATAATGGATCCGCGCAGCTCTTAAAGGGACAGCAGCCTATTAGACCTAATTCTGTCTGTGTTTTAATTTTAATCAAACAAAAGTCACTTGCTGCTCTTGACTGAATAACTTTAAACAAGGATAATCTATACTTAATATATAGCCTACAGTGAAGACCATGTGGTGCTAGTTATAATTTGATTATTAATTTTCTCTACCTGAAAATTACTGTTAGACTTACCAAAAAAGTAGTTTGTTCTAATGTTTTTGTGCTATTACAATTTAAAATAACTGTTTTCTACTTTTATTATTTTTAAAATGTAATTATTATTATAAATGTTGAAAACAGTTGATAAAAAAATTACTTTATACGTTTGTGGAAGTGGAAACTAATGATACATTTTTTAAGGATTCTTTGATGAACAGAAAGTTCAAAAGAACAGCGTTTATTTTAAACAGAAAGTAATAGATATTTAATATTTTGCAATACTATGTCTTTACACTTTTGATCACATTAGCACTTACTGAATAAAGCATGATTTTTTTTTTTATCTCTTACTGGCCCTCATTAAACTCTGGCATTATAAAAATCACAGTTACCTTATCACGGGGTTTAATGTATTTGTGTAGTACACCGCAGAGCGAGTTGTAGTCTCCGTACCACTCGAAAGCCTTTTCTCCTCTTTTACGGAAAAAGCGCTCCCAGTAGTCGGCTGAGCTGAACTCCTCAGCGGTGCGAGGCAATAAGCTCATGCTTATGGATCTGATCCTCAAACCCCCTCTCAGTGAAGCTTTATTTAGATTTAACTGATGAATTATAACTTTTTGGAGGCAGATAAAACTTTACCAAAACATTAAAAGGGTCAATACTACAGAAGATATGATTTATATGCTGCAGTCGTTAACATGTGACGACGCTCTCCCACATGTTTTGCACTTTCCACCCGGAGTGATTTTACAGAAGGACAATATATAATAAACAGCGATTGGTCAATGTGTGAGGGGGTGTGTCTAGAGTGTGGTATATGCGTTCACTGATTGGTGGAAGTTGTAGATCGATGAATACGATTGGTTTATGGCATGTCCGTTCCTAAAGTGCGTTGTTGCGGGGCCGAAACACTAACAGGCTGAAGCATGGCAGTACCTACCGGCAGAGCTGTGGTATTCGTTACCGGGAACGCGAAAAAATTGGAAGAGGTGAGAGTATGGCGTGTTTCATAATAATGAACCAACCATAAATTATCCATTAAAAAAAATACAACGTAAAACAGAATGTGAATAAGCGTATTGTAGAGCATGTATAGTCTCTCCTCACGTGTAATATGTTATGGCAGCTCATAAATATCCCATGTCCAGTCCTGCTAGCTAAATAAACGACTAAGTTAGTTAGTTAGTTAGTGGATTGTATAGTTTATAAGATTTTTATTTTTAGATTCAAGTGTCAACTGCACACATTTGAGCTACAAAACACGGCCTGAAATATTAAGTACATTTTTATTTGTGTTCAGTGGTTAGGATCATGGTCACTAGTAGTACAATACAATAAATCATAACTTTATGTTAACTTTTATTTTTTACCGTTTATTTCTAGAAAATATCAAGATGGTTTTAATCTGAATTTAGTTTTAATTTGCATTTTTGTGAATATTCCTGAAAATTATAAAATAAAAGAGTTAATATTTATTTTATAATAATTTTCAGGAATATTCACAAAAATGCAAATTAAAACATCTTGATATTTGATATACTTGATTGATATACACCATCTTGATATTTTCTAGAAATAAACGGTAAAAAAAAAATAAAAGTAAACATTATGTACACAATTAAAAATAAAAACACTGGAATTTCAGCCTAAATCAAAATATGACTCAGCAGAGGTTTGTATTGGTTAAAACTGCGTCAAACAGTATATGTTTTTGCAATTCTATTTATTTTACTAATTGAATCTAATAGTTTCCTGTTCAAACAGGTAGTTCAGATCCTCGGTGACAAATTTCCCTACAAACTGACTTCTAAGAAGATTGACTGTAAGTATTTGGCTGTCATACTGTTTTGTTGACTTCTTAAGCATGCTGTTGCTGTATTTGTAATGTGATTGTGGCTTACAGTGCCTGAATATCAGGGGGAACCAGATGAGATTTCTATACAGAAGTGTCAAGAAGCAGTCAGGCAGGTGTGTAAATTACACACTTTTTCACTGGCTTTCACTGGGTTGATGCCTTAGCTCACACATGATCTTGTGTGTTTCCTCTGAAGGTGGATGGGCCAGTGCTCGTGGAGGACACCTGTCTATGCTTCAGGGCGCTAGGAGGACTACCAGGACCTTACATGTGAGTCTCACTTCCTTTTATATGCTGTAAATATACAATTATATGCATGGTATACAGTAAATATTTTTCTTCTCTTGACAGAAAATGGTTCTTGGATAAACTGAAGCCTGAAGGTAAGACACTTTGACAAAGGTTTGGCCTACGTCTACTGAATTGATCTGAATTATTAAGCTGTTTTCATTAATATGTTTGCAGGATTGTATAAATTGCTGGCGGGTTTTGAAGATAAATCAGCCTGGGCTCTGTGTACATTTGCTTTCTGTGCTGGAAAAGAGGAGCCAGTTCAGCTGTTCAGAGGAATAACCGAGGTGAGCATGTTTATTTACTGTCCCATCAGATATAGTGCTTTTTACATTGAGGTTTGGTGCCCATACAGGTTTAATGATCTCATCTTATTTCCTTCTCTCTTTCTCCATTATTTATGTCTCCAATATCACTATCAAAAAATAAAATAAATCTATTGACAGATGAGATGTGCTGTATATATGCAAAACAGATTTTTAATGTACTTTACCATTCAAAAGTGTTATGCTCACTAAGGCTCCGTTTATTTGATCAAAATCTGGTAAAACTGTAACATTATGAAATATTATTTACTGTGACGCAAAGCTGAATTGAATGAGCCCAGTCTTCGGTGTCACATGATCCTTCATAAATAATTCTGATATGCAAGCTTTTCCTATTCTTATCACTGTTGTGCCGTTTAATATTTTTTTGTGGAAATGGTGTTATGCTGTGTTAACCCAATAGCCTGCAGGTTTTTGATTCTTCCCTCAGACATTTCTAATAATATTTTTTTCAGGGCCGTATTGTTGAGCCCAGGGGTCCGAGGGATTTTGGCTGGGATCCTTGTTTCCAGCCTGACGGTTATGAAAAAACGTGAGAATTAGATTTTTAAATCGTGTTTCTCAGGTTCACCACTAAGTGGCAGTATCGGTCAAATTAAATCCAATGTGTTTTGATTTAACAAAATGTACACCTATTTATAACAGACTTTTCCTAGAGTTCATGTGATTATAGTGTAAGAATGCACATTGCTAAAGAATTGCTGTATTTATCTTTAAAGAATGAAATATTAACTTAAATTAGTGATAAGGAAACACAAGCCTGCCAATTTATTTAACGGGAGCCTATCTCAAATCGAATGCTGCGAGATAAAAATTGAAGCTTTTTTGATTTGATCCTGCTTTTTCTTTTGTTTTTCTCTTTCCCCTATGCTGTGTTTGTGTGGGCAGTTATGCTGAGCTCCCTAAAGAAGTGAAGAATAGCATCTCCCATCGGTACCGTGCCCTGGCAGCCTTGTCCGAACACTTCTCCCAGCAAAACGACACACCGGAAACCAAGCGCACAAAACGCCAGGACTGAGTTCTGTTCTCTTTCCAAGCAGAATCGGCCAATCACAGCTCAGTTTGGCTCTGCCTCAAATTAATGCACTAATGTGCTGATCTTAAACAAATTAATATGTACTCCATCCTCTTTGTCTTATAAATGCTTCGTTTATAATAAATAAAAATAACAGTATATCATAGTCTTTCATTCTAATATTCATTTCAAATCTAAATCTAGATGGATTTAATTAAGTTACCATTAGCTATAGTAACTATAGTTAGCTTTATGTAAAAAATGTTTATGGTATGTCCCCATTTGAATTGCTTTGTAAAAGTGTGTGTGTGGCTATACGTTTGAGGGCCGAATGTCCTCACTTATATAGTGAAATATTATGATAACTGACTAGTAAGGAGTAAAAGAATATGTTTATGGCACGTTTGTTTGGTAGGTTTATGGTAGGGCTTGGGTTGATATAAAGTCAATGGAAGTCTGTTTGATGTCTTCAGTAATATAATGAAGCACTATCCTGTGTGTGTGAGGACTGAGCAGGTCTCCGGATAGAGACGTGGGGAATTCAGAGTAATAAATCTTTTGGATGTTCCTGTGACACCTCCTGTTTGTTCATCTGCCCTCTGCGCAGGGGGGAGGATGTTACTCTGTATTACAGTTTTATCATCCACTGTTTGTGTTTCTCATTATTAATGGCATGCAGGCAGTGTTTTCACTGCTGTTTCTTGCATTCTCTGTCATTCACTCGCTCGCTCACTTTCTCTTCCTGTCCCTCTTTCCCTCATGACAAAGAACCCTTTATTGGTAACACGTGCGTATGGACGCATTTGATTGGGAAAGCAGTATCGAGAAGAGTTCCTATCTTAGAGAACGTTCAAGAACCTATTTCATTTAGAAGGAAAAATACATGAGATTCCATTCGCATCACTATCATGCTCTTAATTGAGAGGTTTGTTTAAATCACAAACAGCAAATATTACATTTCAAATATTAATAATGTGGTATGCTGAGGAGAGGGGTATACCATAATGACTCATGGGTTCCATATAACAAGGCCCTGGAAACCACCCATAATGCATTGTTATTTAAATTATTAAATTACGTATTAATGAAACTTATTAGTTTAATTATATATATGGGGTATAATGTAGTTATTATCCCATATACACAATAACTGATTCCAGATTTCATTTCATAAACATAAAAAAATTTAAATACTGCTCAAATGTCCAAGGTCATTAATATTTTTTCAAATAAATTAAATTGCAAAAAAATGTGTCAAGGTTTCCACAAAAATATGACCATTTTCAACATTGATAATAATCAGAAATGTTTCTTGAGCATCAAATCATCATATTAGGATCATGCGACACTGAAGATTGGTATAGTGATGCTAAAAATTCAGCTTTACCATCACAGGAATAAATTACATTTTAACATACTACAATAGAAAAAAAAAAATATATATATATATATAATATTTTTTTTAAGTAAATGTACACTCTAAAAAATGCAGGGTTAAAAAATAACTCAACCTTAACCACGCCGCTGGGTCACTATAGGAAAGAAAACGTGTTGGGTTGGTTTGACCCAAGTGCTGGGTTTCGCCATTTAACCCATATTGTTGGGTCATTCATTTGACCCAACCATTGGGTGAAATTGACCATCTTGCTGGGTTATTTCCTGTCTCATTGCCTTATTAAAATTTAACAAATATTTGTTATATTACTAATGTAAAATAATTATTGTCTCTATAATACAATAAATGGATTCATGATGTAAAGTTCATTCAAAACACTTTCCTCAATTTTAATTACTAAACGTCCATAAATACGATATTTACGTGATGATTTAAACTGCATATTTCATTAAGGCTGCTGATATAGCTGGTTTACAACTAACACGCCATTTTGTCAAAAAAATCTAACCGGCTAGCTGTGTTACTAAAGTTTTACAGAATAAATAAATACCCTTCACACTTCCATATCAAAGACTGTATGCTGAACAGTGAAATCATTCGTGTTAAAAATATAGGTAAACATTATCTTACCATAAAACACTGCCCGCTCCGAGTGACGTCCTCCTCGAGACAGAAGTGAAGAATCCAGAAAGTTCTGCAAAGAATAAACCGGTTGCTGGGTCAAAATAACCCAACCAGCTGTTTATTTGTGAATTACCCCCGTAAAAATCATTTGACCCAGCAAGAGCAACCCAATAATGTGTTAACAGTGCCCCAAACAACCCAGCATTTTGACCCAGCACATTCAACCCAACAATTTGTTTACAGAAACAACCCAGCATTTTTTTTTTGTGTAATGTGCGTTTTAGTCACAGCCATAAATCAGAGTCACTGCTATGCATGAGCAATACCATAAATAATGCTTATATAATAATAGGAGCAATACATTGCTTTTGGTCTGTGTAACCTCTCCCAAATGGCAGTAGTTCTAGGTCTCTTGATTTTTTGATAGGTTCAACATCTGTAATATAAGCCTAATGTTAGATTCACCAGACAGAAATGTAATCATTAAGCTACAAAATGTTTATGGGGCTATAAAGCAAACATTTTAAATTTAATATCCAGGATCATAATTATACGTCTGCTAGACTTCCATTTCAAACTGAAAAGATCTTTACTTATTCAAAGGCCTTTCACAATGGATCTGCTTGCTGGATGCACTCAGATTAAGTTTGGAGCTTTGTGGGGGGAAAGAATTTTTAAAAGCACCTCAGGTTTGAATTCCTCACGGTTGCACGGGATGATTGCGATGCAAACAACTGCTGAGAGAATGCGACAGAGCACTGAGACAAATGGCTAAGGAAAACATCTCCGGTATTCAAACTGTCTATGTCCAAACCACATCAAAACACGGGCCGCGTCCCCGTCCCAGATCCTGCTGGGCTAATGGGAGTGTGCCCATAAATATCAAGGAGTGGCATCCATGGAAAACACACAAAGACGTCGAGCAACAGGTACCATGATGACCCTCAATTATACACAACAACATTCCTCACCTCTTAATCGTGTGGAAAAGCTTTTGTCTGATGCTTTTCGAGTTCACAATGTGTAAACATGTTGTCGGATGTCTGTCTAGCGGGGAAAACAAGTGTTTAAGGTGAAGAAACATCCTGTAAACATTGTCAGACAACCAAACTATGGGCTGTCTGGCGATCTGCATAATAAAGTTTCTAAATACCTGGTGGGTTTTAATAAAAAAACAATTATGTACTGCAATTTTGTTCCACAAACTTGTTATAGCAAGTAACATTGACACACACCGACAGACAGCACCGACCCACCAAGGCATGGACTCTACGAAACCCCTAAAGGTGTCCTTTGGCATCTGTCACCAACACATTAGCAGATCCTTTTACGTTGTGAGGTAAAGCCGCTCTGGATTGAACTTGTTGGTCCAGCACATCCCACAGATTCTCAATTCGACTGAGATCTGGGGAGGTTGGAGGCCAAGTCAACACCTTGAACTCTTCATCATGTTCTGCAAACCATTCCTGAACAATGTGTGCAGTGTGGCAAAGTGCTTTATCCTGCTGAAACAGGCCCCTTCCACCAGGGAACATCATTCTTATGAAGGTGTACCTGGTCCTCAACAATGTTTAGATAGGTGGCACATGTCAGATTTGCGTCCACATGTATGGCCAGACCCAGGGTTCCCCAGACAAACAGCTTATCCTGGTTACTTCCCCAAAGAAAATGGGACTCATCATCGGACCAGACGACCACTGCCGGGCAAAATCTCACCAACCACAAGCCGCAAGCTTTGACGTTTAGAGATACTCGCCTTGTCCTACACCTTGCCATAACAATTCAGCCCTGGTCAAAGAACCTCTGATCTTTATTCCTGCCCATTTCTTCTGCATCCACACTGCAAAAAAAAAAAAAAATATTGTTGGTTTAACTTTAAAAAGTAAGTAACCTGGTTGCCTTAAAATTTTAAGTTGATTGAACTGGAAAAAGTTAAGACAATGAAGGAGATTAATTTAATCATCAGAAACTCAAAATAAGTTATATCAACTAAATAAATGATTTAAGTTGATTTGACAAAAGAAAAATGTTGCGATAACAAATCTTGAAAATATATATATATATATATTTTTTTTTTACAGTGCAACACTTTGATTACGAGAACTGTTTGTTTGCTTACCCTCTAATCCCAGAACTTGTTCGGAGATGATCAAGGATGTTTGTATATATATATATATATATATATATATATATATATATATATATTCTACCATATATACTACCAATGTTTTTGAAAGACGTTTCTTATCCATACCAAGACTTCATGTTTTTGATCAAACACAGTAAAAACAGTAATGTTTCCTATTGAAACAAAGAACAGCGTTTATATGCAATTTACATTTTTAGAAACATTACGGAGGTCTTTGCTGTGAATTTTGATCAATTCAATCAATGCATCCTTGCTGAATAAAAGTATTAATTTATTTTAAAAACTCATCCTGAACGGTATTGTATATACATATAAATAAATAAATAAATATAACTCTCCATTCACTCAAAGAGACTAAAGAGTCCCATATCTTCTACTGGACTTGTAACTTCACTCCTGAGAAAGTTATCACAAATCATGCGGGTGAATGAGGCCATAAACCGCACAGCAGGTTGTCCTATAAAGTTCAGGAATCCAGTTTAAAAGGTCATAATCAACAGCAGAATATCGCAGTGACCCATCAGGAGGCCTCCACAAACACCTGGTGCTCATCTTCAGCATGATTTCGTTGTGGCGTAGTAGCATCCTACAGATCTGGTGGAATAATTGTATGCACAGTTCCTGTTTAGGGCCTTGTTGACTAGAAAGCAGCATGTGATCCAAGGGTTTGCAAACATTGTTTAGGTCTGTTTGAAGGATGTTAAATAAATAAAAAAGAGAGGCTTGTGCAAGTGTTAACATCTGACAGAACATCCTAGGAAACCTCTGTTTTTCGTATATTTTTGCCTTATTCAGTGGGGTACCGTCTAAGTGAAAACACATGCATTTTTTCAAATTCATGTACCATAATCTTTAAACAAAACTTCCCGTCCCTCTTGCAGCGACTCTCTTCTCTTCGCTTCTCCAATTAATGTCTTTACTTGCCCGAGGCTGGGGCAACCTGTCACTAACATGAGATCACAGCCATGCAAACCAAAAACCACCCAATCAATTCAAAATGGAGTCATGGACAAAATAAATCCTGTGACTCCCCACCTACATTCATATTCAAAAGCTGTTTCATTCAGATATGCATCACAATAGGGAAGAACTTTGCAACTTCTGAAACTTCTCAAAAATATATATTACTAAATCCTTAGTGTGTGAGTCTTGAAATTGTTGCCCACTGGTTGATGACAGTGACAGTAATTAGAACTAGCCTACCATGCTCAATTTGGGCAGAATACCAGTTAGGCATATAACTTAAATTGCAAGAACAATCATCATACACGTTGTAAATGTCATTAATTTAAAAATTCGGTTTTCAGTTCGTCAAAACAACAACATAAAATAGTGTACTTACATGCTCAGATGACACAGGTTCAAACCATATTCATCCGCACAGTCACGCAGAGCCAAAGCACAACCACAACGATGTTCTTTCGCAGCATGCATGCAGTCTTGTTTTTTAACCGCTAGAGGGCCAAAAGGTTCAGAGTGTAGCCTACCTTCAATGTAAAAGTACTGAATTTAGTAAAAATTATGTTCATTACAAAATATGTAAGCAAAAGTATTGTAATAAAATAAAAAGCAAAGTAGAAGCATTTTAAGTTTAATCACCCTATGTATGTTTCCAACCTGAATAAGATGTGTCAAGATGAATACTAAGTGTAAAGAGCACTAAAGTATAAATATATATTTTAAATACTAAATATAAACACATCCATGTGCACTTATGGTCTTGAACACATAATACTGAGTAAAACGCCATCCTGTGTGGACTTCATGCATTCGGAAGTAGATCTGACCTCTAGTGAACTTTAAACTTCAGGACACATTGCAGGTGTGACCTGTGTCATGGTGTTTGAAGTGTTCATGGCGGTAGGTAAACACATTACCGGTAAAGAGGAATGCTTCCAGCTCCATCACATGCAGCAACTCAGCAATGAATAAGGTTTCCGGAAACATGGACGTTTCATGTTTGATTGAGGTCTGTTCTGCAGTCAAGGTCAGTTTAAGATTTATCAGCTGCACCGTAGCAGAGGAAACTGCAAAGGGAGAGAAAGAAAGCAGGGCACATTTTGACCTTCTCACCCTCAGGGCGTCATGTCATGAAAATTGCCATCTTGGACAAAGATTTTAGGTTCTGTGTGGAAGCAAATACAGTTTTTCGTGTGTGTATCTTTAAATGCCAAATGAGCTGCTGCTCCCCGCCCCCCTTTCCAGAAGAGGGCTGTGGGCTACTTCACACTGTTGTGTTGCGTGGATTGTTTTTTTTAGTCCGCAGGTTAAAGCGATTTTTACCCCCTGGAACGCAGTTTTTACTGGGCTATATAGCTAGTTTTAACAGTGATTGAGTAGCTTGAATAGCAATTTTGCTGTTTTTGTTACGCAAACCTGGAAACCCTGTTTTAGATACTCCGACAACAACAAAACAGGGGAAACAATACGGGTTGTTTCCAAAGAATGTGCTTATATTATTTACTATCTTAACACATGCTAGACAGATTCAAGGCTATTGACCAATGGGACGCGTCCGCATTGCGCAACAGTCAAACACGTCCGTCTAGCGCGTTAACAAAGAAAAGCAAAGGAAAGTAGGGCAGTGGATTAGAAAAAAAAAAACGCGTTCTGTGTTCATTGAAACAGCCAGCAACAGAATAATTAGATTGTTTATTATGTAGCTGAGATATTCTTGTGTTTCCACCAGCTGCTTAACATGGTGGATTGTGTACAGCTAAAGGAGGATCTTAAAGGAGAAATCCAGCGCAAAATGAACCTTTAGTCTAATAAAACATTGGTACCTAGTCAATCGTTCTCTGAGATTTGTTTTCATGATAATCGAATGTAAAGAGTTTTATCTCTAAAAACTGTTTAGCGTATAATGCTAGTAATGGGGGCATTTACTAAGTAAAGTTAATTCCACTAACAAGGCTCAAAATAGCCCCACACTAACACAGTAACATAATGAGGGTCCACACATGCAAAACGAAGCATTGAGAACTTTGTAAGTGTACAGACCGTTTAATAAGAAGATATTTAAATACAGTTCACTTCGTGTATACAGACAGGAGCCATCTTGGAAAACAGTCACGACAAGTCGAACCACGAACGTCGTTGTATGTTCACTTCATACAGTGCAGCTCACTCTGCACGATGTTCGTGGTTTGACTTGTCGTCGTAACCCAAACCCTAACTATATTTTATCCAGTGTTGGGTAAGTTACTCTAAAAAAGTAATTAATTACTAGTTACTAATTACCTCTTCAACAGTGTAATTAGATTACTGTACTAATTACTCTCTATAAAAAGTATTTAATTACTTTTAATTACTAATTACTTTCAAAATCCCATATCAATCTCAACCAGCTGAATAATTTAAGGATAGACATGAATCTGTTTTAATTCTTTCAAATAAATACTATAAATTGCATGAATTATCCTTAAACTGACCAAGGTGAAGGTTACATAATAAAAACATACTTTTTAACATCAGACAATACATTTTGATGTTGAACCCACTATTGTTTTATGTCAGATCTCATGACATTTCTCACTTTTTTCATACATATTTTACAAGACGACTAATTCATACGAATTTATACGAGTGCGGTCGTACGATTTAGACACCTCATAAAATGCATACGAATCGCTGTGAGATCGGATTGATCCATACGCAGTATTTACCTCAATTACATCAGAAGTAACTGTAATTAAATTACAGATAAATGAAGAGTAATCCCTTACTTTACTTTTTCAAGGGAAAAGTAATTAAATTACAGTAACTAATATCTTAGTAATTAGTTACACCCAACACTGAATTTTATCTTATTTCAGTTAATGTTTATTTCAAGTAATTAAATATTTATTTATGGTATGGACAGAAAGAAGTGCTCAAGTGCATGTGGGACTCATCTCTCTCAAATCCTTGAGCCTTACACACTCGCCCTTGTCGTTTATAATCCTGTAACTAAGTCAGGATTCCCGCTGATCACCATCCCATCAGCCGGCCTGCCACCTTTCCATACACTGCCCTAATGAAATGTTCAATTGTCCATCTAGAGGCCTCTGTGACTAAATCGCTCCTGCTCTTCCTCTCCTAGTTTTCAGGACGTCTGCTTGCCTCATCAGAACGATGGCAAAGTTTATTTTAGCCATTTTCAACATGCACCAAACCCAGGACTCTGACTGCGTGTATAAACATTAGGATCAACAGGCAGATAAATATTTCCTTTTAGTGACATAGGTCATAAATTTGTACCCTCATAAATTTCGGAATATATTTCCTTGGTCTAATGTTCTGTGAATTGCTGATATGGTTGTAAGCATGTTCGTATTCCCTCCATTGTATGAAGAGATGTTGAAGGTTAAACTGGACAAATGGAAAGTATAAGGAGTACAGCTTTATAACCCACCTGAAAAACAACCTAACGTGTCTCACGGGTACCTTAAATTAACCTGAAGTTCATAAGTCATAGAAATGGGAGTCAGTGGAGTCTTTTTAAACGTAGAGGGTTAAGAAACGGCTGACTACGGTACAGTTCCAAATGCTCTTTCTTTTGTCAAAGATATTGCTTTTTCAATTCAAATAGCAAAACTTGAGCCAAGTGACTTAGTGGAATATTCAAAATCAGACTTGGCTTTCTCACTGTTTATATAATGATATTTCTCATCAGTTTTCCATTTCCTTCAATGTCTCACAGGATTCTGAAAATGAAACAATTGACAAGAGTTTTAGGGAGTCAGTGTATACAGAACGTTACACACTCCAGCTACCAGGTGTGCGTATCAATCAGCTCCCTAGTCACTAGTCAGGCATTGGTTCAGGGAGTCGACAATTTTCAGGGCTGTCTCAATCGTAAAATCCTTCCAGTCCAATTGAAACGTTTGCTCCCTAAAAAGTCCCACAATGCACCGTGAAAACCAGAGGTTCTGAAGAGTGAAACATAAATAACGTTAACTGTGTCTAAAATCCATACTCTCTTGAGTAGGTCCTTATTTTAAATAAGTAAATAGTTCACAACCGCTAAAAATGTACGTTCTGTGTGAATGTGTTGTAGTATGAATATAATCTGGCACAGCTACTACATTCGCCATGTTGTCATTATCATGTGACCTACCAGCATCAGTTGGGTCACTTCACTGCCATTCATAAATACTCTCCCGTGGCCTTGTGGGATAGTAAATCATCCATCATATGCACACTTCAGAATCTCGCTGGAAGAAGTAGATCCAGGAACTTTTTGCCTGCTATGAGAGCTGTGAATTCAGACATTATTTTGTCACATACTGTTTTTTTGAATAAAAAATACACTCACCGGCGGCATCACATGGCGGCAACTCAGTGCATTTAGGCATGTAGACATGGTCAAGACAATCTCCTGCAGTTCAAACCGAGCATCAGTATGGGGAAGAAAGGTGATTTTAGTGACGTTGAACGTGGCATGATTGTTGGTGCCAGAAGGGCTGGTCTGAGTATTTCAGAAACTGCTAATCTACTGGGATTTTCACGCACAACCATCTCTAGGGTTTACAGAGAATGGTCCGAAAAAGAAAAAACATCCAGTGAGCGGCAGTTCTGTGGGCGGAAATGCCTTGTTGATGCCAGAGGTCAGAGGAGAATGGCCAGACTGGTTTCGAGCTGATAGAAGGGCAACAGTGACTCAAATAACCACCCGTTACAACCAAGGTGGGCAGAAGAGCATCTCTGAACGCACAGTACGTCGAACTTTGAGGCAGATGGGCTACAGCAGCAGAAGACCACACCGGGTGCCACTCCTTTCAGCTAAGAACAGGAAACTGAGGCTACAATTTGCACAAGCTCATCGAAATTGGACAATAGAAGATTGGAAAAACGTTGCCTGGTCTGATGAGTCTCGATTTCTGCTGCGACATTCGGATGGTAGGGTCAGAATTTGGCGTCTACAACATGAAAGCATGGATCCATCCTGCCTTGTATCAACGGTTCAGGCTGGTGGTGGTGGTGTCATGGTGTGGGGAATATTTTCTTGGCACTCTTTGGGCCCCTTGGTACCAATTGAGCATCGTTGCAACGCCACAGCCTACCTGAGTATTGTTGCTGACCATGTCCATCCCTTTATGACCACAATGTACCCAACTTCTGATGGCTACTTTCAGCAGGATAATGCGCCATGTCATAAAGCTGGAATCATCTCAGACTGGTTTCTTGAACATGACAATGAGTTCGCTGTACTCAAATGGCCTCCACAGTCACCAGATCTCAATCCAATAGAGCATCTTTGGGATGTGGTGGAACGGGAGATTCGCATCATGGATGTGCAGCCGACAAATCTGCGGCAACTGTGTGATGCCATCATGTCAATATGGACCAAACTCCCTGAGGAATGCTTCCAGCACCTTGTTGAATCTATGCCACGAAGAATTGAGGCAGTTCTGAAGGCAAAAGGGGGTCCAACCCGTTACTAGCATGGGGTACCTAATAAAGTGGCCGGTGAGTGTATAGTAGGGATGTATGTGATTTCGAATACAGACAAAGTGTAGCGAGCCAGGGTCCTTGCTTACTGTCCTTTCCAGTGCCTGAATTCATGTATGATACACTTATTCGCGACCTAGGGAGCAAGCAAGGCATGCCAGATTTTTGCCCAAAAGACACATGCTGAAGAACTTCACTTTTATGTCTATAAGAGAAGGGAATTAAGTATTAAAAGTGTGACCTTTGGCAAGGGCCTTTTGGGGGGACACTGGACACTCTCCACCTAATCTTTTCACTTTGCGAAGCACCTTTTTATCCCCATGCGAAACATTTCTCAAGGTTGCCTGTTTTACAGATCATGCCTCCTGTAGCTCGCGGGACACATTCCTGGTCTGCTCACATAACCATTTCTCCTCTGAAGAGCTACATCACTCAGCATTTTTTTTTTTCATGTGACAGGATGATCTGAATTTATTGCTCCAAATGTTCCATGAATCTTCTCCAGTCCTTGGTTGTTATTGTTTTTTTCAGTGTTTGTAATGGAATCTGATCAATACAAAATTCAACCTAAACTTGACTCTATAAGTCTAAAGTAATCTTCTGAAAATAACTTTGTGATGTTAAGCCAAACCGTACACAATAATTTATATTTTACGCAGGCGTACATGTATAAAAAAAAACTTATTTTGTTTGATAAACAATCTCTTATGCTCACCAAGGCTGCTGCATTTATTTGTTTGGAGTTAAATGTATTATGTTTCTTGTTTCATGGCTTAGATGATGATTTAAATGACGGTGGAGATTATTTGTAATCTTTTTTGTTGAAATAGATGTTGATGAGATTTTTTTTCATCCTTTTTTTTTACTATATCTATATATAAATAGATGAAGAAATCACGCGCAGGAAACAGGATCCGTCCAGTTGTGTTGACTTCCGCTTCAGAGCCGAGCGAGAGGCGTCATCACCATCATTCAGGACCCGTCACTTCGTTCAGGTTCAGATCAGACACTGTCAGCGGGATTAATAACACACAGACGCGGTTCTTCCAAACAGGAATCGACAAAAGAGAGATCTCTGAGGTAGACTGTCCGGGGATGTGACTCTTAAGGCCTTTGTACGTCTGTTTGTGTGTCTGTCAAGCGGTCAGTGATTTATCCAGAGGTGTTAGCTGTTATGCTAACTGTCATTCCAACTGCTTTCACTTCAGTCTTTCCATTCTTCCACAAATTTTCATGTCAACACGATCATTTGATTTCATGCTTGTTATTTTCTTCAAAGCATGTCTTCTAATTCGTGTCAATATTTTAGCGCCCTGTAGGGTATGTTTACATGGTTGTGATGATTAGCATACAGCTCTGTTAGGAACATCAGCTGTTTTAGATATGATCGGTAACGTCTGGACTGTTGAACGTTTGCTTGAAAACTAGTACATTTAGGAGTTGTTTGGTGTCTTAATCTTAACATTTTGTGTATTCTTAATCTCATATGCACATAACATCCTAATCTCACTAAGTTGAATAATGTAAAAGTCCTGTAAAATGTGTGTATTTTTGACAAATGATAAGCGAAGGACTCGTTGTTTTCCAGTCTTTCCAGACTTGTTGAGTCTGCCAGTTTCTGTTTAATTATGTCTTTTCTGCTCAGTGATTATGTGAGTGCCATTGATTTTAGTCTCAGTTATTCAAACAGTCTCTGATTAATCCACAATTGTTGATAGAAAGTCAAGGCTATTCTGTTCCCTGAATTATATAAGTCCCATCATCTGTTAGTGATCTCAGTGTTTCTTTTAGCCGTCCCCTGACCTGTGTGTTTCTGAAGCGTTTAGATTCAGTAATGAGAGAACACAGAATAATGCCTAACCTGTAAGTTTTGTTTGTGAGATATCTGTCATCATGAAGCTGTTCCGTAACAATGTGACGCATGTGAAGGTTTAATCAGTGTAATCACTTTTGTAGTCTGCAAACATTTTGCTATCAGAATGTCCATTGTGGGTTTGGTGGTTTGTATTTGTTATCATGGCCAGATGTCTGCTTACAACCCATCCATCCATCCTGTTTTCATATCACTATTTCCAGCCATCCATCCAGATTTCATATCATTTCCATCCATTCATCTAGAGATTTCATATCACTATTTCCAACCATCCATCCAGATTTCATATCACAATTTCCATCCAGCCATCCATATTTCATATCATTATTTCTATCCATCTAGAGATTTCATATCACTATTTCCAACCATCCATCCAGATTTCATATCACTATTTCCATCCATCCAGATTTCATATCACTATTTCCATCCATCCATCTAGAGATTTCATATCACAATTTCCATCCATCCATATTTCATATAATTATTTCCATCCATCTAGAGATTTCATATCATTATTTCCAACCATCCATCCAGTTTTCATATCACTATTTCAATCCATCCAGATTTAATATCATTATTTCCATCCATCAATTCATCCAGATGTCATATCACTATTTCTATCCATCCATCCATCCTTCCAGATGTCATATCACTATTTCCATCCATCCATCCAAATTTCATTTCACTATTTCCTTCCACTATTTCCATTTTTCCTTCATTCCATCTATCCATCCATCCATTCAGATTTCAAATCACTATTTCCATCCATCTATCATTTTAATATTTCAGTCCAATTTGTTGTTCCAAATATGTATGCTGTTATTTTTTAAGCTTTAAAACAAAAATAAATCCATCCATCAATCATCTCACTATTTCCGTCCGTCCGTCTATCCAATTCATTTTGTTTAGTTTCCAAATCTACATGCTGCTATATATATATATATATATATATATATATATATGGTATATATATATGGTATATATATATGGTATATATATATATATATGTGTGTGTATCTCTAACCATTCAATCAAACAAAAATCATTTTTTAAAAATCTTCTTGTAGTTATATTCCACACACTTGAAAGTCACGATAACCACGTCTGTCAAGCTTCAAAAAGTGGACCAAATGACTTATGCACTATATTCCAGGTCTTTTTAAGCTCGTTTGTGTGAGAAACAGACCAAAGTCACATTGCGCTGAAAATTTTCCTCTCCACCTCGCAAACGTACCATAGATGTGTTACACCATTTTTGACATTGGTTAAGGTGCGTTCAAGTTAGCAAAAATTCTCCAAAATTTCATAGGCAAAAAAGGTTAATTGTCTATCTTCAATATAATGACTTGTGAAGCACAGTGGACACATAAGTCACTTTCAAACCAAGAAACTTTCTATTGATCAGTGCAGCAAATCAGCGTGACCAGTTTGAACCCATTGCAAAATCCTCTTAAGCCTAGTTCACACTACGTGATTTTAAGCCCGATTTAAGCCCGATTTGCAAATCGTTGAGTCGCCGACAAGTCAGGGTGTTATCGCGTGCAAATCGCGGGCGATAGCGGACGATTAACGCTCGCCAATCCGTTAGTGTGAAAGAGCCAACAACGCATCAAAGACAGCTCGCAGACAGCTCGCAGACAGGTCACCGAGCTCAGAAAAATATCTAGCCTGCTAGATATCTCGAGCAGTCGCGCGACTCAATCTCAGTGATGTCATGAGTACAGCCAATCATAACGCATGGGTTGAGGACACCAGGTAAATCTTACTTTTTCTTTTTTGCATTTTTTTTCTCAGAGCAGATCGTCGAGCAAACAGTGTGCAGCACTAGTTTCTGTCTGACGTCCATATTCGCGTGTTGTGTTCTTCTCTGTAGTTTCGCGTCATTTCTGGTTCGTTTTATTGCGTGGTTTTTCGTTACAAAACATGGTTTCTAGACCAGATAGAATCGTGTTGTTGTCAACTCGTTATTTGTTTGATTATTTTCAGGATTTAGACCGTACTATAGTACTGAAACAGCTCTCATTGAGTCACAAATGATATGCTCTTATCATCCGATCGTGGTTGTATCTCTATGCAGTGCGTTGTTAACTCGTGTAGTGAGTTACCTCCTGTTGTGGATCAATCACGTTGTGTTGTGTGGTGTGAACAGCTAAACAACTTGAACACTCATGATTTCACTGAGAGCAAGTCATGTAATGTGAACTGCACAGTTCAGCCCAACATTTTCAAATCATGTAGTGTGAACTAGGCTTTAGGGGAGTCTTTTGCAATCGCTCAATTCCTGATTGCATGGATTCCTAATATTGAAATTGACCGCACATTTGCACAACATCATTGATTCTCTGGTCTCTAATATAATTGATTGGGAAGCACCAAGTTTGAATTAGAAGCACAAATGGAGTTTTAAGAGCTAAGACAATATAGTCAAGAATTAGTAACTAATATTTCAGTCTGTTCCTCACACAAAAGGGAGGTTGAGTAAACGAGGAGTAGTTCACTTTAAAAAAAACTTTTGCTGATAATTTACTCACCCCCATGTCATCATGTCTTTCTTCAGTCGAAAAGAAATTGAGGTGGACCTTGAACCGTTTGGTTCCCATTGAAGTCCATTATATGGAGAAAAATCCTGGAATGTTTTCATCAAAAACCTAAATTTCTTTTCGACTGAAGAAAGAATGACATGGAGATCTTGAATAGCATGGAGGTGAGTAAATTATCAGCAAAAGTTTTTTTTTTTTTAGAAATGAACTACTCCTTTAAGACACCACGGTAAGGTCAAATTTTGGCTTATCTGCACTTTTAAATATTTTTGCACTGAAGTTAAAGACAAGTAAATATATCTGCATGCCTCAGTGGATGGTGGTTCGATTCTATGTCCTTATTTCTCTGTCTTGGCATCTTTTATTTACCTTTTCATGCTCTTTCTCTCAAACCCCATGTCTTTTTCCTCTTCCCTTCCTCTCGTTCCCTGTCCCCAGCCTCTCTTTTCCCTTATCCTGCTTTCTGGAACGCTCTGCTGTACTCCTGGATAAAGGAGAAGCCGTTTTCCTACAGCTCTTCCAGCAAGAGAAGCAGAAAGCAGTCAGAGAGCAGAGGACAGTGGACTCAATGGTACTAGACTTGGAGTTTGGGTTGAGAGTTGTCCAGTGGGTGGAGGAAGGAAGCAGCTTTAGTTTGCCTGTTAATGAAAAAAAGAATACAATTTCTCAAGAACAGCAATAATTCATTAATGTGTTTCATGTTTTATTTTTTTAAGTACAATTGAGACACATCTATGTCATTTATTATTTACAGAGGCACATTTACCACATGTTCTTCATTCAATAACTGTGTGTTATGGAGTAACTAACTAAAACTAGTGAAGCTGTCACATTTAGCTACAACAACCTAACTACATTACTAGCATGACAGTTAATTGGCAGTTAAGATAATTTACTTTTCCAGTGTAGCATGACACTATTGCTACTAGTGTTAGTCTATTATGTCACATTGTGTTTTACATTAGACAGACATACTCTCTTAGCTGTGCCAGGAAATCTGATTCATTTTAGCAAGTTCAATACTTCACTGATTCATTTGAGTCATCAATCAATAGAGTGCTGCAGGATTGAGTGCTAATACCAGGAAATGAGTTAGCATTTCTGCACTTTCACTTCCATCTGTCATGTCTCTGTTTACAAGGACTCTTTTTTGATTATCATTTTGTTTAGTTTGTTCCTCCTAGTTTATCTTCTCCTGTGTTTATTTCCTGTTTCCTTGGTTTAGGAATGTTCTTCTCATTTGTTTCTATGGTTACTAATTATGTTGCTCACCTGTGTCTAGTTTAGTTAATCATTATCCTTTGTATATATACTCAGTTTTTTGTCGGTTGTTGTCTTTGTTTTGTTTACAAAGCTGTCACGTTTGTGGTTTCCCCATTGGATTATTTATTTTGTTATCATATCATTCTTCTTTTTTGTTTATTTAAAATAAAAGACATAGTTGCATAGAGATCCTTGTAGGAATGGGCCAGTTACCGGTTTCAAGGTTTACTGCAGGCGGTTTGAAAAAGTCACGGTTTCAAAACCTCTAAAATTTTCTGTTATACGGTTCCTGTGGTAGGAATTTCAAAAAAAAAAAAAGTGCAGGAATCCAGGTTTCCTTCTTTTTTGTCTTTAGCTGATTACTTGTTTGCCTCACTTAAAGAGATAGTTCACTTTGAAATTAATTTTTGATATGTTTTAGCTTACCTCAAGGGCATCCAAGATGTAGGTGTCTTTGTTTCCACAGTAGTTTCAATTTTGATATTTTAGGTCAAACCGTTCTTGTCCTTCATATAATGCAGGTCTATGGTCACCACCTCAAAGAGCAAATTAAACATGATTTAATGACTCATAAATGTAAGTAGCCGTGTTTCCATTACCCTTCAAATTGCGCAAATTGAAATTGCGAATTGAAAGTATGTACAATGGAAACGCGTCCATTTCGCAAAACTTCCGTTTATCGCGAAAAGTTTTTACGCTCACATGAGGAGGTTTTTCAGGCAATTCGAAAAAGGAATATTTCGCAAAACTGCAATGGAAACAGGTTTTGCACATTTACAGTCACCTGACCTTTCATAAAAAAGTCGTTAATAAAATAAGAACAATTAAACAAATTGCAAACAACTGCTCAAATAAAAACACAGATTTGAAATAGACCAGATAACACTGGTCTTCATCGTACAGTTTGCTGCATTATCACAATTTATCAAGGGTACATAAGTGTAGGCCAGCTACAATTTCAAAATGAGTTTTCTTTTAATTGGACTCTAATTGACTCTAGATCTGCACATGAAACTGTCAATCAGAGGGACTGCTTGAGAACCAGTCATTGTTATTCCATAGGTAAAGTTTATGTGTCTGGTAGTTTCTAGATGAAAACCTGCTGTGGACTTCAAAGCTATAGGCTCCATGTTTTTAAAATAATGACCAAATGGTTTAACCATAAATGAACTGCTGTGAGAATATAAAGCAAATACACATTGAGGAACGTTATGACTTGGACATCAACTGCAGGAGCTTGTCTTTAACTGCTCTGTTTGATGTTTGCAAGCATCACATTACAGTCGGCGTGACTAAATTGATCCCCTTCACTAAACTAGTTAAATATAACAGGGTGGTCTATGCCCAAGTCTGAATTACGATGGATTTACTTAAAAGTAGTTCAGCTTTTATGGTTTAAAGTTCAGTCAAGTGAACTAACTAACAGACCCACTGCTCAGATGGTCAGTATAGTTGAGCTTTCACTTTTGGTCACAGTCTGGTCTGAATTAAGACTTAAAGAACAAAGAGTTCCAGCTTAAAAATCTGATTAGATGAGTCACATTCAAAGGCATTGTAAAACAGCTGATAAATGCACGCTTGTTGTATTAATGCACGAGCAAAATTCAAATAAACACAGCCAAATTAGAAGCTAATGAACTGTATTGCATCAATTTATAAGCGATAATGTACAGTCCTGTAGTCATAATTTCAAAATAAGCCCAAAATATAATCATTTTGCTATAATTCCTGGCTGACTGGACATCAAATGGATATGAAATATTATTTGAGCTGAAATGATTTCATTATATGAGAAAAATGAGACGGTGATTGACACAAGATGACACAAATCTGGTCAATAACTGCTGTGCTTTCTATGTTTGCCTGCAGAGGGAGCCAGAGAGGGAGGAGCAGCTCGACCCCAGCATGCCCCCCAAATTCAAACGGCATCTGAACGATGAAGAGGTTACAGGGTCTATTCGCAGTGAGCGGGTAAGTCAGGTTTTTACCATAAAGATTAACTAGAGCTGACCAGAGCCAGACCTGCACTTTTACAACCCCATTGTGCCCTATGATCTGTTTATGCTGTTAGTGTTTACAAGAGTAAACAGCTCTCCCCTCATGTTCCTCAGTGTCTGCAGAACTTACATAATCCATCAACAACTACAGCTTTTATGCTATTACACACACTATATTTCAACTCCTGTGTTGTAAAACCCTTCAGAGAGCAATTTGTTCTAATCAAATGTCACGCAGTTACCACATGTCATAATAGCAGTGGATACACTGAGGTGAATGAAAAATTAAACAGATGGGGAGAAAAATAAACAGAAAAAACGCAAATAAAATGGAACAAGATTTTGCAGATATAAACAGACGTCAAATGGAAACTTACTAAAGTAGATTATTAAAAATTAACAAATTTGTTTGTTTTTTTGGCTTATGCAAATCAATGCTGCAATTCTTTTTTACTTTCCAGCTGTCAAAATTAATTAAGATTGTTCATATTATTTTGAAACACATTCATATTATCATATAGCAATAATGCAGTAAATAAAGCACAAGTGACGGTAAAGACATTTATAATTGTAAAAAAAATGTTTATACTTCAAATAAAGACTGTTCTTTTGAATTTTCTATTCTTAAAAGAATACTGAAAATAAGTATTACAGTTTACACAAAATATTAAGCAGCACAAGTGTTAAACATTGATGGTAATAATTAGAAATAATTATTGAGCAGCAAATCAACATGTTAGAATGGGATCATGTGACACTGAAGACTGGAGTAATTTTCAGATTTGCATTACAGGAATACAAATATTTTTTAAATATATTACAATAGAAAACGTTATTAAATTGTTATAATATGCAACAATGTTACTGTGAGCATAAGAGACTTCTTTCAAAAACCTTTGAATGGTAGTGTAAGTGAAATGTACAGAGCAAACACCAGTAATACATCTCTATTTAAATAACAAAAACAAGCAGTGAACGGAAAAGTCGACAAAGTCATTAGCTCATGCAGGGGGTTATAAACTAGCAGAGCCCTTCCCCAAGAATCTGTCAGTGCAAATCTCATTATTGACATTCAGTGTCTCCATCTTCTGCCAGTCCTAGAGAGTCACTAATAACCATGCCAGGCCTTACAGTCACAGCCTGTAAATCAGTGTCAGGATTTGATAACCTTGTGTATTTTACTTGGGTACAACTCCCGACTGATGTATGATTGGGAGAAACTGTTCGATGGCTGGATTAGCACATCCAAAGAAAAGCCTCCTCTAATTGGCCTTGCATAGTAGCTCGAACTCTGCAGCAGTGAGAGAGCAAGAATGTATAAAAGAGCGAGTGTGGCTTTCCACGTGCCCGTTATGCAACACCGCTGACCATGACAAGACCCAGTTCTTGTTTTTAAATATTCCCTAGTAAAGGGCCAAGTGGATATGAGCAAGTGTAGTGTTGTTTGCAGTCATAACATGACATGCAAGGTCAGTTACTCATTTCCTGTATACTGAATCATTTGTATGAATTTTCCTAAAACCCTGCCGAAAAATCATAGTTCCAAAAACAGCAACATTTATTTGAAAATTAGAAAAAATTCTAAAAATGCTTTGAAACTGCCAGACTTTAAGATACTGGTATGTCTCATGAACTACCCATACAATTTCTACCAAATTGTATGGCTAGCAAAATAGATTTCAGTCATATTTATTGCAACTGAATCATGATTCAGTGCAAAATGATTCAAAAGAGTGATGCCTACATGAAATGAATCTGTAAACCTTAATGGTTTTAGAAGGCATTCCTTTCAAAAACATTGGCTATAATTTAATTTGAGCTTGTAGCAGGTCACAGATGACATTAGTTGTGACGATAGTGATTCGTGTCTCTTCACTACTCATTCATACACAGACATCACAAGAGTAATTGATTATTATATTCTAGTTCTTTGTGTAAAACGTTTTGTTTTTCCTTGGTATGGTTGACATTAGCATGGAATTGTCCAGATGGAATTTTAGAGGAGTGTCACAGGTCTTGGATGCAGTTTTGGAAAGTTATATAACATTAATCATCGGGATGTTGAAATGATCTGGTGAGGTATTTGTTCAAATTTGTGCAGTCATGGACTTTACAACAAAACTAATGGAAGGTCAAGTAGATGCCTCCTGGTCTGTGATTCATTGCACCTAAGATCAGATGGTACAAATGCAGACCACATGGACTTCATATCTCTAGTCTCTTGATCCAGTTCTAACTAGCCTGACACCCTGATCTTCTTAACTTGCAGAGGAACCTACTGGAGGAAGACTCAGATGAAGAGGAGGACTTTTTCCTGTAAGTCTGTAGTTTTGCATAATCATAATTGACAAATGAACAGATCTTTTAGCATTTATTATAGTTTGCACACGGCTTTAATGCCTGGTTCAGATTACACGATTTTAGCCCGATTTTGGCACGATCCGTTTGACGTAGGGTTTCGTAAACGACAACGGGACGCAAGATTCGATCGTATCATCTCGTCATAGTGGGCGACAACCTACGTCGCGTCTGCGATGCTTCACGACATCACGACAAAAGACTAGCATGTTTAATTTTTTTTTAACGGTCGTCCACGACGGGTCCGTCACATGTATGAGGTTGACCAATAGGAGCACAGAAGCTTTTCCGTATACAACTTTCAAAAATGGCGAAATGAAAGAAAGACGATTGTGCTAACGTTACAACTAAAAGTAAAAATATATAAGAAAACAATATTTTACCTCAAGTTTTCTTTGGAGGATTGACAGCCCATACCGTCCGACATGTGTCTTGTCCACGACACGGCAAGATTTTAGGAGTCGAAATCGCGTAATTTGACACAGTGACTATCGTAACAGACAAAAAAATCGTGTAATCTGAACCAGGCATAACAGGAAAGCACTTTGTGACAGTGTGTTTGGTTATTGAAATTGATTTTTTTTACAGAAGAGGACCTTCAGGACCAAGATTTGGAGGCCAAAATGACAAAATTAGACAGTACGTATGACTTTATAGGACTTTTTTTTTTTTTTTTTTTGCTGGCCTGCTTTTTACTTTCCTTGCCAAGGAATTCAAATTTTTTTTTTCTCCCAACTCCATGTGTGAACTCCATACATTCAAACACAATAGTAATGGAAAAAGATGAACATGCGATGCAAAACAATACGGATTGGTATAAAACTACAAACTAGGGCTGCCCTCGAACAAAGATTTCTCTAGTCGAATAGTAGTCATTCATTTAAGCCATTAGTCAGCTAATTCAGATAGGCTCATCCGAGTCTGAGTCAAGGGCAAGACCAAAAGAGGGTCTAATCCGAGTTTAGACCATGACTATGAAAATATGGTCTTTAACAAGGACTTGAGGACCAAGACCCAGAAAATGTGGTCATGAATTCGATTTCGACCAAGTCGGTCTTGGCTACAACTCTTGCAGCTGTAAGTAATATGAATCCCGGGGATGGTTACCGGTGTGCTGCTTACTGGCTGAGGTCCAAAAGAGCCCACCACCAAGTGTTTATGATGTTCTGCTGTCTAGATATAGCTCAGGTCCTTCCTTCAATGCGGATCTGTGGGATTTTTTTTTTTTTATTACTGTTTTATCATTTGGCAAGTGAATATAGCTTTCAACAAGCCACACAAATTGAGGCAACATTGACGTCTAGCATAATCTGTGTGAGACACTAAAGGAGTACAAAATTGGCCTTATGCACAACTTAAGCCAGCTCCTTGTTTCCTGTCTGCCATTATTGGTCAAATTGATTGATTAAGGTGTACCTGACCTCAGTAGTCACAGCAACAATAATCAGACACACCTGAATAAATCAAGTTTGGCCAATAATGGCAGACAGGAAACAAGGAGCTGGCTTAAGTTCAGGAAGTAGTGCAGCTGTGCATAAAGTCAATTGAACAATTCAGAAATTTCCAAATAGTAGAAACGGTTCAGTTTAGGAATGTGGACGGATATCTAATAACTTCCACTGGCAGGGTGTTGTAGAAATCGCAGTTATTGACTGCTCAAGCACTGCCGTGTCGTTGTGTTTTGCAGAATTTATATAACTCCTTATAATGGCATCTGTGAAAACACCCACCCACAAACACACCTTCTGTCCGAGAAGAAGGGAATCACTGTAACCATCTGGGTTTCTATGACACAACATAATATTTGCAGGCAAATGTAAACGGCTACTCCCAATCTTCTAAAATCCTCGGTTCCTGACGTAGCTGTAGTAGCCGGACTGTGGGCTTTTCTTTGTTCTTTGTTATGAAGTTTGGTACATACTAATATGCTGCAGTAATTCTCCCAAAGGAAACCCTGCAGAGCTTCGCCCCACGTGAGCAGCCACAGGTTTACATAACCACTGCGGAGTAACATATAAAACAATGACATTTAATAGGGAAAACTTGGAAGGTGAAATTTCCCTAATGTTTTTTTCGGAACTTTTCCGTGAACGTCTTGGACTCTGTTGCTTTCATTTGTATCTGTGCAAGAGTTTACTCCCAGGTTCCTGTGCGATTGGCCATTTGGTGTGTATTAGATGGTCATCCAAGCATAAAAGCAAGGGGCAAAACATCCTGTTCTCAGTTCATTCGCAGTCTCCAAAAGCCATGCCAGCCCCTTGTGCCAGGTGTATGAGAGGAGCTAAATACCTCACAAGCTATTTAGTGCGTATTTGCGTGTCACGTCTACGAGTTCAAATAGTTCAAACTATTTGGATGTGTCTAGACCACGTCTAGCAAAACGTTCTCACCTCCTCTCAACACTGCAGGGTCAACGGATCGTAGTCATAATGATATCTTGTTTAATCTCGAGCGGTTTACAGAAGAAGAGAGGGTTCTCTTCAAAATATTAGAAACACAGACGCGAACATGTGCACCTGAGCTGTTAAAATGTTCTGTTGAGTTAAATGGACGTACCAGATTGTTCTCTCATTGTTGTCTTGTCTGTCTTGGTGGCCTCCAGTGTGCAGTCTCAAGTTGATGAGGTCATTGACGTCATGCAGGAGAACATCTCCAAAGTGATAGAACGTGGGGAACGTCTGGATGAGTTGCAGGATAAATCTGGTAAGATGGATGGGGAAAGATCATTATGAATCATCAGGCACTTTGTGATTCCATTGGATTCAAGGGATAAACAACATTAAAAAATACTCTCAGATCTTCTGTTGCTCAAAAAACCCACTCATGTTCCTTTTTCTTTTTGATGTGTGGGTGGAAATATGCAATATTTGGAACGTTAGCTCCCAAATATTTAAGTGCAATTTAATCATTTCAAGGCTACGCTTATATCAGCACATGAATAGATTGGGAAGCCGTATGTAAACAAATTATTATTTCAAATCAATCATATTCAACAGCTCACTACACTAACTGTGGGAAAGTGTATTGAATTCCAATGTCGCATGAATAAACCCTTTTGAATAAACCATTTCATTATACCTGATCCTAGTGAGTCATGTCCCATTTCGGTTATTTGGTTTGGGAGCTGCTTGGGACAAATGTGCAGGAGAGTGGTTAAAATATCCCCAGTCCCACAGAGTGATGTGGTATTTTTCTTATTTCGGGCCAAGACGTGAAAAATAAAGATTGCCCCATAACAAAGGCTCATGTTTGGTCCTGTTTTTGTATGTTATATGAAAGCACTTTATGAAATGTGCATGTTGATTAACCTTTGTGGTAAAAGGAGCCACTGTGTTCAGAGTTTAAAAGTATGAGCAGATGTTGTAGTGTTGCATTTATTTGATTTTAAAGAGAAATAAAGATGAAGTGTGTATTCCCACACCTCAGAGTTATGATTTTACATTTCCATTGGTTGAGCCAGTGTGGCTGTTTTTGCTGCTATGGATGCTCAGATATCTTAATACGCACATAATATTACGTAATATGAAATAATTTTATGATAATGCCACGTTACTCTATTCAGTGGAACAAAGTTTCAAGATGTGTTATTGTTAACTAAATCATTAAAAAAACAACAATTTTTTGTTAATTGAAATAAATTTATATATATATATATATATATATATACATTTACTAAGTCAAATTTACTAATGACTTAGTAAATATATATATATATATATTAGATGAAAACTTGCAAAGCTTGAGATGTGTAAAACTTTACAATAAGGTCATTGGTTAATGCATTAGCTAACGTGAACTAACAGATTTTTTTTATTATTTATTAGTCTTTAGTTAATGCACTCTGAACAAATAATGAACAATTAATTTCTACTGACATTAACAATGTTTACCAATACAACTTTTTTAAGTTTATTTACCAATACAAATTTGAATAATGACTTAGTAAATGTTGAAATTAATTAACTAACTATAATTAATAAATGCTGTAAATGTATTGTTCATTGTTAGTTAATGTTAACTAAAATAGTTAACTTACGAAACCTTATTGTACAGTGCTACCAAGAAATTAGAAATGTTGCCTTGGCAACTGAAATATTATAAATATATAAACAAACAAGTTGAAGTTGTAAAAGTTGTAAAAGTACTAAAACATAAAGTGAAATAAAACTAAATTAAAGCTAAATTTTATAAATAATATTAATTAAATACAAAAATAAAAGCTTATTCAAAATACTACCGTAATACCTTTGTGCTGCTGAACAAAATGCAGTCAATTATTACGGAAAATGTACATATATCATTACATGTAAATATGGAAATGAAAACGGGTCTGCTCTGAGCTCAAATACGTTTTTTTTTTCTTTTTTTTCTGTTTACTACATGTCCCACATTGCTGAAATTGCAATGCTTTTTATGTGGAGGTCCAAGTGAAGCATGGCGCTTATGTTCACAGGTGCATTGAAGCTCTGGACCGGTTCATGTAAAAAGGACTTGTCTAGATCCATTGTATCCAATTCAAAAACAACACCTCCTTTGTTTGCTAATGGAGAACAACTAGCTTCATAGTGCAGCATCTGGAACACATTGTCACTCACAAAGGGGAATGTTTCCATATGCTGTTGCCCTTGTGCCTCATGCGTAAGGATGGACAAATGATTAAGGAAACAATACTGTTGCCACGTTTAGATTGCTTAGCCCTAAATGTGAATCCATAGACTGTTACATAAGAATGATTTAATGAATTTTTAAGGCTAAATGCAAACTAATGTGTCTGTATTAGTAGGACCCCTGTGTTCTTTGTATCTTTCTGGCTGTAAACACAGTCATCCTCTGTGGGATTGTGGAATGGCTGCTGGTTTAAGCTCAGCTTTATTGATTCTTGTATGCTAATAATACTGAACATGTTTAATTTGGTCACACGTGTTGCAAAGTTGTAAAATCCCAAAACGGCATGATGAAATCAACAAGCATCTCTAACAGACAAAGATAATGTTTATGAGTGTATGTCATGATATAATAACAAGCATGTATGGAAGTATACCTTGATACTGATCCTCTTATGTCACATGACTTTCAGAAAGCCTATCGGACAATGCGTCAGCGTTCAGCAGTAGAGCCAAGCATCTCCACAGAAGGATGTGGTGGAGAGACATGAAGGTGAGCCTCCATCTTGGATGATCTTCCACATCTGAAACTATAAATTTGGTTTTATTTTCCTCTATAACATTCACTTTGGAACATAGTGTGTATATACAACCCTGAGTGCTTGTGATGAGAAACCCCTCCGTTGTTTGGACGCGCTGCTCACTTTTATCTGTAGAAACCGTAAAATGGCGCAATCATGTCTAACGGTCCGCCATTTCTGCACTATGGGGTGTTTTAGCCCCGTTTATCCTAAATATCTTGTAATATATTTTTTTCTATCTTCAGATGAAAATGATTGTAGCGTTGGTAGTGGTCATCCTTCTCCTTATCATAATCAGTAAGCACACACACACACTTTTTCAACATGTAAACAGCACAATCCATTTCCAGACTTTTCTCTCTCTTGAATTTACATCCCTCTTTTTTTTTTGCAGTTCCTGTGATCTTGCAGTATCGCTAGTGTCTGGCAGGGAGGTTAGAGGCATAATGTACTCTTCCTCCTTCCTCTCCCTCATCTTTCTGCTGTCATTCCTCCGTACCAGAGGGGGCGCTGCACAGGGTTGGGCTGCCCACTGTTTTTGCCTATTTTGGCAGGGTCTGGAAACAAAACAAACAGGGGCAGAGTTTATTTTGTGCGTGTACGACAACACAACATATCAAGCTCTCACAACGAAGGCACAACACCGGTGCAGACCAATCTCTTGTATGCGCACAAACACAATGGTTATTTTGTTGTATATGCATTCAGTAAGACTTAAGACAAATAAAAAATGTACTATACACAGAGAAAATTTTAGCCCTGCATTCTGGTGGTATTTCGATGTCCTCTCTACTGTATAGTTAGTTTTACGCTAGAGCCGTTCTGCTTACACCATGATGCGCACGTACATTTAACAATTACAGGGTCCATTTCCCATATATGTAGGTCTATGAAATACTGTCTTCTCATGTGGGCGGGGCCAAATAGGAAACCTGATGATGTCACGCTGCACCATGGCTGTGATCTCATCATCTGTCTGTATAACTTCTGGAAGTTTTAACATGGACAAAACATTGGCTATAATTCAAGTTAGTCTGAAAATCAACAATGTTACATAATATTTGCTGCTATTACCTGCTGTTTTTTTATTTATTTGTTTACTTTCACATTGGGCAGCAATGTTTTAGTTGATCGTGGTTAATTGTATTGAGTTGGTATTATTTTATTTTAAGCTTAGTTATCTTCACTGGTGTAATTTGAACAGCTTGTTAATGGTCGGTAATGTAATAGTGTGTGATAATGATTTGGTTGACTATTGCTGAAGATTACCTGAACTCAACTGTAAACTTTAATCCATATCATTTTACTGACTTGTTTTTTTTTTCTTTGTTATATTTATTTGTAAATATCTATGACCAATGTAAGTCAGCATTGACTTCCCATTGGGAGAATGTGAAATAATCTTGCATTTCAATAAAGTGATTTTAAAGGGCATTTAATCTGATTCATTGCATTTCTGTTCTCTCACAAAACTGTTACTCTGCGTTCCCCTGAGGGCCTGTTTACGCTTGGCATTAAGATTAATGCACAATATATTGACCACCATATCGGTATTGGACGATACACACTACCGGTCAAAAGTTTTAGATCGGTCCATTTTTTTATGTTTTTAAAAGAAGTCTCTTCTGCTCACCAATTATTGGATTAAAAATGCAAGCAAAAACAGTTGTTAAATATTATTACAATTTAAAACAGCTGATTTCAAATGTGAAGTAAAGTGTCATTTTTTCCTGTGATGCCAAAGCTGAATTTTCAGCATTACTCGAGTCTTCAGTGTCACATGATCCTTCAGAAATCAGTCTAATATGATGATTTGATGCTCAAGAAACATTTATGATTATCAATGGTTTTATTTCAGGATTCTTTGATGAATATTAAGTTCAAAAGAACAGCATTTATCTGAAATAGAAAGCTTGTGTAACATTAAACACTACCTTTCAGAAGTTTGGGGTCAGTATGAATTTTTATTTTATTTTTGGGGGAAATAAATGAAAGAAATCAATACTTTTATTAATCAAGGATGAGTTAAATTGATCAAAAGTTACATTAAAGATATGTATAGAGTTAGAAAAGATTCTATTTTAAATAAAAGCTGTTCGTTTGAACTTTATATTCATCATATTTCTTTTCAACATTGAAAATAATAATAAATGTTTTTTAGCATAAAATCATCATATTAGAATCATTTCTGAAGGATCATGTGACACTGAATACTCGAGTAATGATGCTGAAAATTCATGATGAGGAATAAAATTACATTTGAAAATATATTAAAATAGAAAAACAGTTATTTAAAATTGTCATAATATTTCACAATATTATTGTGTTTTTAATAAAATTAATGCAGCCTTGGTGAGCATAAAAAACTTATTTTAAAAACATTAATATAATGGATCTAAAACTTTTCACCGGTAGTATATGTTCGTTTTTAATGTTACTGTTCTCGGCCCAATAAGAAAATGTGTCCAATATATTAAAGCTGATAAATAGTGGATTATTTCCTTCAGCTGAGACGCTTCAGATGCGCACTGGTCACCATGATGGTTTTGAATTGCTTGAAATATGATTGTAATCACTTCTAAATGTGAAAAAATATAGCCAAGTGCAACATTTGCAGCACAAATCTGCCATACATCAAATTATAATGAGAACATTATAGTTGTGTGCTTGGGACATGGCTTTTAAGTGTGAGACTTTTGTTTTTGTAATAAGGCTCTACAATTATATACAAATCTGGATTTAGATTTATCAGCCAATATATCGGTTATCAGCTTTAAAATAAAGATTTATCGGTTATCCGTATCCCTAATTAAGATACGTTTTGGTCAATCGGATCAAACGGGTCTAAAACATTCCAGACCAGAAGGGATTTAAACTTTGTCATAGGATATTCCTGATTTCTAGAGGAATATCGCCAACTTGCCAACACTGTTCAGTTGCCTTGCGGCTGTCAGAGACGAAACGAAAGCTGATGCTCTCTTTAAGTTTTTGCGTTGACTCTGGTCACATTCATATGTAAATTGCGTGAGCTTATTTCGTCCATTAGATTTTATATTTCTGGAAAACCCCTCCCCCCACACTTTTACCTATCCATAGACCCTCCCCTCGAAGAAATGGACAGAAGTGGTTGAAAATTGACAAAAGAGGCGGGTTAAAACACCAGGTGTAAACGGGAATTTCTCCCTTGTTGGTTTGTTAAGTTTCTCGGGGACAAAAGTTTTGAAACCGAATCCAATATTTTTGCAAGAGAACAAAATATGCTTTCAAGAGAACACAATATGTTTACGTGAGAACGCAAAAATAGTGAAATAAAAGGTGTTTCAAAAAACCAAGAATGCAAAGAACGAACTTGTGTTCTTGGGGAGAACGCTCTTGCTAGTTGGTCTTGGAAGAATGAACTCACTGACGAGCACACAGAACGCTGACAGTTTGAGATGATGTCTTCTTGCTGGTATTGTGCAATAATACCCCCGCACAGACGCCGTTAGCAGAACCCAAACATAATGAGGATTATTGACGATAACAGCCAGGCTGCAATGGTCTCTTGACTGTTGGAAAAACGAGTATGTGAGCAAACTGGCCGGTTGGCTCGCTAGCTAACTTAAAGGGGTGATGAACTGAGAAATCAATTTTCCTTGAGCTTTTGACATCTAAGAGGTCATCATATTATAAGAATATCCTGTAAGTTTCAGAACTGAAAATGTCCTTGTTAGTCAAATAAAAGCTTTTATTGACACCAGCCTCAGCAAACGACTCGTTTTTCAAAGTGGAGAACTATGACGTCAAAGAGGATAAAACACCACCCCCGCAGACGAAGATCAACGCCTACTTCAACACGACTGGTTTAGCCCCGCCCACCGATTCGCGCATTACACGTATAGCTAAATAACATAGATGCCTACCTTGTGATGACAAACCGGATTGATCTACCGAGCAATACAGAATATTGTGCAGTGCCTGGTTGTGGAAGAAGACAGTCGCTGCATAAGCTTCCTCTGGATTCCTATAGGACTGCATGGATAAACTTTAATTTTAATGATGTTCCAGCTGATGAGGTAAAACATCGTCCATCTATTCGCTTCATTTCACTGAGGATTGCTTACCAAACAAGACTGGATTTGCAGACCGATTAAGAGTAAAGAACGGTGCTGTGCCGTCTATATTGCATCTGACAGGAATTGTGCAACACACGGACTCTGGGTCGAATCATTCCGGTTGCCATTTTACAACATTGGACGTTTTAAAAACAATTTCCCCCAAGTGCATCGACAAGTGAGTCGAAACTCATTATTATGCAAAACTGTTATCCACTCGCAGCAGTGGGCGTTTACTTCCAAGTCTTCAGTACGAGACGCCCATAAAAACCGAGCGTTTTTCAGCTGGGCTTAAAACTAGGGTACAAAATAGCCTATTACTTATTCATTTTGATGTTTTTGAATGCAAAAACCAAGCAAACGTCATAAGTTGACCTCAGACAACAATATAATCAAATTTAAAAAGCCAGTTCATGACCCCTTTAACAGCTGCAGGTGCTTATGGAGATTCTCATTTCCGAAAACGTTTGAGCACATTTTCGATTCACCATAAATTTTCGTAAATATGGCAATATTTGAAATCTACAGAGTTGATTTCTCACATCAAATGTTCTTAGAAGTGATTTTAGTGTTGAAATAGCGTAGTTGTAGAAAACGAATTAATGTATTGACCTGCCTCTCTTTCTTCGAATGCCGAATTGAATGCTGGAATATTTCTGCCTTCAAGTTCACACAAGATACCAACCGATGCATCCTCGGTAAAATGGGCGTGTCAAGAACACATCCGAGATTTTAACAGTTCTTGCCAAAATGCAAACTTGTGTATTGGGACAGTACTTGGGCCACAAAAGATGACGTTTCACAAGAACACAAGGACACAGAGAATGAGAATGGGAGGGAACATTTTGGGCCTGTCTCTTTAGGGGCTCCATAGAATGGCCCGTAACTTTCAAGACTTGTGTGATACTTCAAAAGACGCTGTGCATTGTATGGTTTTATTTGAGAAACTTGACTTTTTTTCTTCTTCTAATAATATATAATGTTTCTCAACAGCCTCAGTAATTTCTCCTGACTCACGTTTGGCTATTAATAAACATAAGCAGCAGTACGTCACTTCAGTGGATGTATATACCTCCATAAATGGCGTATAGCTAACTCACTGAACTATACTTCGTAGGTCTCATCTTCAATAATAGTTTTTGTTTCGCATGGATGGTTTATTAAGTCTTTTTATAGAACTAAGGACTATTTCCTTCTTTACCACTGAAATTCAACTCCCTGGGCAGCACTTATAGTGGAATAAAAACATCTAAAGAAGTAAAACTCAGGAGCTGGTGTTTGAATCAGACCTTTAAGTATCATTACGACACTGAATTACTTTACTTTCAGCCATTTATCCCTCTTTTTCTGCATTTTTATATATTTGTCTGTTCTTCTCATCTCAGTCATGCTGGTTCCCATATGTTAATGGCAGACGGCTTTACTCCATCTGTAGTTACCAATTTTGGACAAAGAGAGTTCAGAGACAGGCAAAAATCAGTCTGAATGAATGTCCAGGTCTATATGATATTCTGGTCTCTAGCTAGGTCCCTACTTCATGGTAAGACGTTTATAAATTGATCCAAGCAAATGACTTGAGGTGTTATAATGCTTTGTACATGTGTGGATTGAACTATTTAACTTGTTAGAGTCTCATGCTGTTCTGTTTTGCGTTAGCAAATTCTCCAAACATTTTTTAATATCTGCCATGAAGAATGTCTCTCATTAGTTACATAACTAAGGTTCTTCCGCTCTCTCCCCAGGCAACATATCTTTAATGTGTGTTTGTGTACGCCATTCACAATAGTTTTAGATCTTTCACAAAAAGAAGACATTTTAAAGTAATTTTGCATGTTTATATATATATATATATATATATATACACATACTGTATATATAATGTAAAGTTTGTCAGCTTATAAATGCTATTGAATGTTTGTTGCAGATTTTCAGTTATGAACTTGCTGGAATCTGTTCAATACTGAAAACAAAAGGTCACATATATGTGTGACAGATATCATATATCAGAATCCGATGTTTGTATGGAACTTTGTAAATGGCATGAATAGGATTGCAGATATTAACTGATAGACTGAGGGAATTGACTGAACGAATGTAAGCCTTGATTATACACAACATCCTTCATTGTCGGCGTCTCATGTTATAGAGCGAGTATTATAGAATGAGTGTTTGACATTACGGATTTAGTTGGATATACAGTAATTTGCAGGCATGGTCTTGTAAATAATGTTTCTGCTAAATGTCTCTTCAATCTCCCATAAATCTGCTGTGTTAATAGATTAAATGAAGCCTGCAAGGTGAAATTTAAGAGCTCTGATGGTGGTCCTGAAGAATGGCCACAAGGTGCAAGCAGAGGTGTTGAAAACTAAAGTAAGATGTTACAAATTCCAGCCCCAAAATGTATTTGGCCACATTTAAGATGTACCGATGTCGTTACATTATATAACAAAATATTAAACTAAGTGAGATTTATTTTTGAGACCTCAAGCACATTTTTTTCCAAGCAAAACATATATTATTTTTTTTTGATCAATTATCAACATTGGGAAGAAATTGCCTGTCAAGTTGTGTCCTAAGTTGCATGTCAGTAACTTTAACGCCTCCAGGAAATGTTGTAGTAGTTATTATTATGCAAGTCATGAATGGAATTATTAATTGGTAATCCAATAACTAATTTTCTTAATTGAGTAGAATAAAAAAAATCAGAATTTATAGCCATTTTTGTTATGACATCCCTGTTTTGATTTAATTTAAGGACTAAGTTGTACAATATGTTAGCCAATATATTTATTTATTTCCACTAATGATTTATTCCTCATATACTTGCATAACTAGAAATGCATCGTATGTAAATGAAGGCCATCTTACCTTTTTTTTGTACAATGGGATAGAATGTATGACAAAACATATCCACCGTTTAACATTTCACCTGCACACAAAGAAGAAAACAAGTAAAGGTGAACATCTTAGCACTGTCAGAAGCAAGGAATAGTGAGTACAAGGTATTTGCATTACTAAATTTCTCCGAAGACTTAGCTGGGCAAGAAATTCAGACATCTCTTGCACATTCAAACAAAACAAAACGAATGGCCACCATGAAGAGAGATTCCAGTCCTGAACCATCTGGGCCACATTATAGATAAAAGAGCGTGAAAGTGTTTTGAGCCAATGTTTAGTAAGTAAACTAACAAAAACAGACCTATTGAAAGAGTGAGGTGATGAACTGTGGAGGGGAGGGTGGTGGAAATGACATTGGGATGTCATAAGTAAATGAGAAAGAAGGAAACGAAATAGCGAGGGATTGTGAAGGTTGGTGACAGAACGAGAAATGGGCAAGGGTCTGAGGATTGAAGCTTTTATTAGTGTTGTGTTAAACCGTTACAAATGCCATCAACAAGATCACTAACACCTCAAACATGCATTGACCTCTGCTACTGTTTGCATCACATTCTGACCCCTTTAGCTAAGCTCAACATGTAAACCAACACTGAAGACCTCTCCCATGGACTGTCCCGGTTGGGGTAACTCTATCCAAATCTACCCCCTCTTAACAGCCTGTCTTGGGTTCCCCACAGCGAGATCCTCTGGCTGTGAATCACCAGCAGCAAACCAATAGGGACCACATACACCACAACACCCAAATTAGAAAGCGGCAGAAAGGTATGTTCTCCCCATGTACTCCTAAAGGATTAGTTCACTTTTAAAAAAACTTTTGCTCATAATTTACTCACCCCCATGTCATCAAAGATGTCCATGTCTTTCTTTCTTCAGTCGAAAAGAAATTAAGGTTTTTGATGAGAACATTTCAGAATTTTTCTCCATATAATGGACTTCAATGGGAACCAAACGGTTCAAGGTCCGAAAGACAGTTTTAGTGCAAACTGTTCAAAGGGCTTTAAACGATTCCAGACTATGAATAAGGGTCTTATTAAGCGAAACGATCGCTCATTTAAAAAAAAAAAAAAAAAGTTTAAGTTTTATAAGGTCAAATGCTCGCCTTGCTCCGTTCTGTGATGCGTGTTCGTGACTCTCCTGTTCGAACTCGTTTATCAAAATGAACAAATCTTTTTTGGTGTCATTTGGTTCATTCAACGAACGAGACAGGAAAAGATTCTTTTCATTTTGATGAACGAGTTCGAACAGAAGAGTCACGAACTTGAGTCACAGAACAGAGCAAGGTGAGCATTTGAGCTTATAAAACTTTTTTTTTTTTTTTTTGAGCGATCGTTTCGCTTGATAAGACCCTTAATCATCGTCTGGAATCATTTAAAGCCCTTTGAACAGTTTGCAGTGAAACTGTATTTTGGACCTTGAATCGTTTGGTTTCCATTGAAGTCCATTATATGGAGAAAAATCCTGGAATATTTTCATCAAAAACCTTTAATTTCTTTTCAACTGAAGAAAGAAACACATGGACATCTTGGATGAAATGGGGGTGAGTAAATGATCAGCAAAAGTTTTTTTTAAAAGTGAACTACTCCTTTAAAACTCTCTCACAAATACCTAGCTAGTTGGTTAGGCACATTACATAAGTAATTACTACAATACCAGAGGGAAAATGCCTGAGCATACAAACCATTAAATGACACTTAGACATACTGTGAACAAACACTGTGTTCACCTGTGGTTGCCCCTGCATTCCTGAGCACAAAGCTAAACAAACAGCACACACATGCTCCGATATGCCCTCCAAGAGGAGGTGACAAAGAAAGAACTCTGGAAGGATCTTTTTGTTGTGGAAATCACTCAAGCACACAGCATCCCTCCTTTTCTTCCGTCCCTCTCCCTTCTTCAGTCCCTCCCTCCCTTTCCTCCCTGACTGTATAAATAAGTCCCAGTGTAATGTGCCTCAGACAAACTGAGGGATCACAGACATCGACCACCAATCCAAACGAGACACTCTGACCAGCCCCTCAAAGTCAATCTTTTGCACAAGCGAAAGGGAGTCAGTGGTAGCGAAAGATTGAGAAGACTCAGGTGAGAGGTCATTAGTGGAACGCCAGAGAAGTGAGCAGCGCCGGTTACGCTTGTGAGGCGAAAGGGAAGGGATAGATTAGTGCTGGAGCTACAGAGGTCAGGGCAGACAAGTGATCTGCAGAAAGACCTCTGCGTAAACCTTTCTGAAAGAAGAGCATCAGATTAAAAAGATTCCAGGTATCTGAGGTCCACCTCAACATGAGGTTTTTGGCCGTGTTGTGCGTTTCCTGCCTTCTCGTGGGCACCCAGGCTCAGAGCAGTGCTAGTTTTCGTCGGGCGAATGCCGGCAACGGCCGTTGTCAGTACAGCTTCACAGTGGACAGCCCTACAGAGGCCAGTTGTCCATCATCAGGTTCAAGTCCTGAGATGGAGGCCCTGAAGTCCCGCCTGGGGCTGCTAGAGGCGCTGGTCGCCCGTCTCGTGGGAGGTGAAGCCGTGTCGGAGTCATCGGCGGGTTCTAGATCTCAGTCAGGCCTCCAGGACGCTTACAACCAGGTGATGGGGGAGAAGGCTCAGATCCAGAGAGAGAAGCAAAGACTGGAAAAACAAGTTCAGGACCTGCAGCAGAGGATGGAAGAGCTCCGCCAGGAGGCTGAGAGGTTGAGGAGCAGACCCTGCACGCAAAAACCTCCTCCTAGAGTGTCGGAAATTGACAGCAGCTTCAAACCAGGATCAGGTTAGTGACAAAAATGTAAAAAAACATATTGTCAAGGGATGTTATGTTGAGGTTTATCTTGCGCAACCAAAATGATCTTTTGGCCAAGTGTTCACTACCTTAAGTTATTAACTAATGATCGTTGCGATGGAAGTGAATCAATCAAAGCTAACTTTAGATGGAAAATAACTTTATTCTAGAACTGCCATAAAGCCCAAACAATCTGTTACTTTAATTTCCTATTATCACTGTAAAGCCGCTTTGGAACAATCTACATTGTTAAAAGCGCTATATAAATGAAGATGACTTGACTTTTGTGATGTGCTAATATTGTGTGTACAAAAGCTTTTCATTGGGGCAGTGCCTTCGAAAGGAAGCCTTTGTACGTTAATTACTCCTATAGGGTTCACAGTATCATAAAATGCATATTATTATCATTAGGGATAAATATAGTACACAAAAGTGACGCTTTAAAGGGATACTCCACTTTTTTTGGAAATAGGCTCATTTTACCACTCCCTCAGAGTTAAACAGTTGAGTTTCACCGTTTTCGAATCCATTCAGCCGATTTTCTGATATGTAGAAGAATATCAGTAACCAGACAGTTTCTGGTCTCATTGACTTCCATAGTAGGAAAAAAAGTAGGAAAAAAATATACTATGGAAGTCAATGAGACCAGAAACTGTCTGGTTACTGATATTCCTCTAAATATCAAAACAATCGGCTGAATGGATTTGAAAACGGTAAAACCCAACTGTTTAACTTTGGGGGAGTTGCAAAATGAGCCTATATCCAAAACAAGTGGAGTATCCCTTTAAGGGTCCATTCCCAGTGACAACCTATTGTAACCCAAAGGTGCAATTGTTGCCCATTTTTTGACTGTAAATTTACCAAAGTGTGAAAGATCGGCAATACCTTTTTTTGTTTTGTCAGAATAATGATGGAAAATGATCGAGCAAAAATATACACTAACTTATATTCTTACTTTTGTGGTTACCAACTTGCAAACAGGTGTGGTCTTTGTGAAAGCAGAGAATGTGGGTATAATATGACGTGCTAGAGTTACTGGTACCTTGCAACAGACTCTTACGGTTTAAGTTATACCTGCCTGGAAGTGTGAATCATGTTTCGGGTGGGATGGGTGAGCAGGTCATTGTGTTCATTTTAAAGCAGAAGCGAACAGTATAGATAGATCAGAGCTGAACTAGGGGACATCCCCCCATCATATATTATAAAAGCAGGTCAACATACGAGGGAATGAGGGTGTTGGGGGAAAGCCGCTGAAGCAGTAAAACAGAACTGTGCTAATGCTCAGCAGTAAAGTCTTACTGACAGCTCCCAGCAGACCACCGACTGATGCTGCATGAGGAGGGGTGGAGGTTGGGGGTAACTGATCCCTGCTGGGTTTGTTAGTGGGGTTGTTGGAGTTTAACACACGGAGACCCTCTTTGCAAAAAAAGCGACAATTTCCAGCTTTTTGAGATTAAATGGATAGTTCACTTTGAAATTAATTTTTGATATGTTTTAGCTTACCTCAAGGGCATCCAAGATGCAGGTGTCTTTGTTTCCACAGTATTTTCAATTTTGACATTTTTCAGTCAAACCGTTGTTGTCTGTCAGTCATATAATGCAGCTTTAGGGGGTCCACCTCAAAGAGCATGCACAGAGAAGTCAAAATTAAACATGATTTATTGACTCGTAAATGTAAGTACACACTGATGGCCTAAGACACGAAACGAGCAGTTTGTGTGAGAAAATGAACAGTATTTATATAGTTTTTACCTTTTGTTAACAGCTGTCGAACTGATCTGAATCATATGTCCAACTGAACAGTTTCCAACGTTACGCCGGAAGTGATCTCTCACGTGTCTACGTCACGCATTGTTTCACTTAGTGAAAGGTAAAACTTCTGAAATATCCGTATAAACTGAAAAATTTTCTAAATTGAAAATACTGTGGAAACAAAGACACCTACATCTTGGATGCCCTTGATGTAAGCTAAAACATATCAAAAATTAATTTCAAAGCGAACTATCCCTTTAAAAAGAAAACAGGCCGTCCGTCTTGCACGTCCTCACCCTCTTGGATTCAGTTTTGCTTTCAGGTTTACAGTTCCTTTGCACCCCAAATATACTGTGCAAGCGTACACAAGCACAGAAAGGGGCTGAATAAATAGTAATTAACCATGGATAAAAAACTTGAATTACTTTGATTAATGGCAGGTGCGTTACTTGTTTATATTCCCCTGGCTGATTTGGCATTCGTTTTGGACTAACACTTGGCAGCAAAAGCAAAGGTTTTCTGCTACCAATACAATTGCAGAAATGCTCAATTTTCAGTCATTTGTGATTAATGACTACAAATGTTAAATAAAGAGGGTCATTTTTATACTTTAAAACGTTTTGATGAGAAAAAAAAATCACTGAGCAGTAAAGACGCATAATCGAACATGCAAAGTCAGTCCACAAAAAAAAAAAAAAAAAAAAGATCAGGATACCATTCGGCCATATGATGTTGTCAGTGTCACCTCATTAAGTACGAACATATGAATGCGTGCCTCTGGAGATCGTTTTGAAATGTTTCGGAAACTTTAAACGAAAGGAATTCTCATTTAGAATTATACTAAGAGTTGGCATCTGCTTCACGGCCTACAGTTGCAACACCCCAAAGCATTCAAACAGTACAAACCCCCCTCCAAAGTCTGAAAAGAGGTGAAGGCTCCTGCAAATAAATTAGTCTGCAACATGCTACCAGATGGTCCAGAAGCTCTGCTTCATCTATCAGGGAACCATTAGGCACGATATACAGATAAAGCACAAACTGCAAACAAACCTTGGGAATTACACGCATAGACCTGTGTCCATGAGCAAGTGTTAATTATAGGGATAAAGGGCAGTAACAACAGACCTTCCAACTGCAGGTCTGAGCAAGTTATCATTTTAACCCTCATCACAGCAATCAATCAAAGTCAGATTTCAGATGTTCACGACCATTATAAGAGACTGTAAACATATAAGCACATGATCAGACAGTGATTTAGCCCTTGGGCAATAAAATGGCATAACATGAAAGGAGTGAGGATAATTTGAGTTTAAGTTCTTAAGGTCCTTTCTGTATCATTAGTAGGACCAAACAAAACTAACTAAAAATTCCCAACAAGGTTTCCAAAACACCCCTTCTAAACCATCTTCAATTTTTTTTGGACTTTGGACAAACAGGTCAGACTGATCTCATTAAGTAGCGTGCATGACACGCCAATTCAAATTTCCATTTTTGGCCGTTGACTTAACGTTATTACTGTACATATAAATATATGACTTACCTCAACCCCGTCCCTAAACCTAACCGTCACTGGGGTTAATGGCATTTATGACTGTTCCCTTACCATCCTAGGAAAAAAAAAGATATGACTTACCTCAACCCCGTCTACATTTTGATCTACATTTTGCTTCGTTTTGCGCGACATTTGACGGCGTGTACAGACACGCGGAATCGCTGGGACGTTAATGGCGTAGACATGTACGCACATGCGGATAGCTCAAAATGCGTAGAGATAACACGCCACTTGACTCGAAAGTGGCGTGTATGTTTATGCAAAAGTCATGATGTCATGTTGAACAGGTACTGGTTAAGCCAAAAGTTGGTTACAAGTCAGATCAAAATGTTGCACAAGTTGGGATAAGAAAAGTTATAAGTTAAAATGACACAATGGATTTTAATTGGGCTTGTTAACCAGGAAGAGTGTATGTGCTCTCTGCAGGAGTGCATGTCTGAGTTTCGGATGTGTAATGGGAGGTCTGGAGTCTTGCAGGCACCGGGACAGCTGGGAATCTACTCAAGGCTGTTTATTTCCTTCTGTTAGATTCCTGACTGTCAGTAGAGCTGCCAGTCCCCCAAAACCATGCATCCCAACAAACATACCTCTCTCAGGCAACTCAGGATCAATGCCAAGCCTATAAGTCTGTCCAACTTTACTAATTTAGACTTCCATCTAGGTACTCTGGGACATAGCTAAACATGTGATCTACCAGATAATAAGGGGCAGTAAACATTGCCTAGACAATAACAGCAAATTGATAATTTGGTTTGCCTTTTAGGTCCAGCACTTTCCCACCTGGTATCCAGGCCTGGGAATACACAAGGAGACACCAGCAGTTTAAGAGGTAAGGTAGGGGGTATAAAAAGGGTATAGTTACTTAGGCAGAGAACAAACTGCACCATCATGAATTATTAATCCAACTCCATACAGCAAATAAGACAAGTAATTTAATATTCTTGTTATTGACTGCATGTCATAGTTGCGCACTAGTTGCGATTCTGATTGTGAAGGCTTGACAAATGTAGACCTCAACACCTTCACATGCATGTCTCAATTTGAGTATGTGAATTTCTGTCTTTCTGATCTCCTAGATCCAGCATGGCACTCGAGTTCAGGATATCAAGAGCTGACAGCTGTGGTTACTGAGGTGTCTGCCCCAAATCTGGAAGGTCCAGCGGACATCTCAGGTGAGTCTCACACCCTAACTGGTAATTTCCACCAACAGCGGAACAGTTCCGGATCCTCTCCGGAACGGCGGAAGCCCATTTCGCAGCCCTCATGAGCAGATACGCAGAGCTTCTATTTTTGTCGGATGCCGGAGTGCTCCGCAGCAATTCAGCACAAGGCAAATTGTTATATCACGTGATCATGCGGGAATTCGCAAGAATTGACTTCACTCGTGACTTCAGCTGTCAGTCATGGCCGTAGCTATTCCGCAATAAATCCGGACCTGATAGGTATTGAAGGAAGGCAAAGCACAGAGCAGACACACAGCACAGTGGAAATCCAGGGTAACTCTAGGGCGTCTATCACATATCTAAAGCCGCGTTTCCACCGCAGGAACTTTCCCCAGGAACTAGGAATTTTGGGGTGGTACTCAAATGGGGTGGTACTTCTGGGGTGTTTACACCGCAGAAACCAGGGTCTAAATGAAGTCCCAGATGAAGTCCCAGAAAGTCCCTGCTGGCGAGGTGGTACTTTTTCAGAGTTCGGGAACTTTCGGGTTAGGACTTGTGCGCTGAACATGCTGATTGGTTCTTCTTACCACTTGTTCTTTCTGCCCGATGGTGTGCGTTCGTCCAATCCATCTCACGGTCAATGTCCGCCGATAACAAACGTCTGCTTTTATATCTAGCATTACGAGCTTTCTGAATACGCTTTGGGTGCTCGTCTCTTTTCTGCCGTTTTGTTAATAACTTCGTTAGTAAACCAATCGCACACAAAAGCAGCACAGCTTGAATCTCCTCCATACAAACGTCGCAGGCAGTTCAACGTCACTACATAATCTTCCCGCCCCAAAAAACAGTTCCTATGAAAAAAGTTCCTGGGACAAATAGTTCCTGGTAATTGCGGTGGAAACGCGGCTGAAGCCACAATCTAGGGCCTTGTTTACACCTCGTATTAAGATGTGTTTTGGTCGATCACATCACTAATAGACCAAGGGAGTCATTCCCGATTACACTTGTTTAAACCACTTTCAACCACTTCTGTCCTGATTTCTTTGAGGGGAGTGTTTATAAGCAGGTAAATGTAAGCTGTGTGCCTTTTTCAGATCTTTCAATATAAATGGACGAAATAAGCTCATGCAATTTACATGTGAACGTGACTGGAGTCAACGCAAAAAAAACATGCAGAGCATCAGCTTTCGTTTCTGCTCTGACAGCCGCAAGACCACGGCTAACACTGCGAGTGTGTTAGAAATCAGGAATGCGATCATTGTGCTTGGTACGTTTTTGTCTCCAAACCAAACTTGAGGCTAGCACGCTTCCCATAACGTTTACGCATTTAGTCGGTATAGGTGGTCTTTTGTGGCTGTTATGTTATATATATATATATATATATATATATATATATATATATTCCCCCACATCTGTTCATCTCAGGTGCCTGAAAAATTGATACTGTGCACATAGCTTTCATTCCTGCTGGCAGCACTTACACAAATTCTGCTATTTTTACCAATTCATTTAAGCCTAAAATAATCTAGCTTATAAAAGGAGTGTGTATGTTTAGTAAGGCGCCAAAATGGTAATGTGAATCACTTGATGCGACCATGTTGCTAAACAAAGACATTAAGGTTCGGGTTTTTCCCAAGAAGTCCTTTGAATTCTGCCAAGCATCCCTTCCCCCAGTACCTCTCTCTTACAGGGTATTTTAGGAAAGGTTAAATATGTTTCTAATCTTTTACACAAGCAGGAATGGTAGGACAAGCTGTCCTCTCTTCCACCTTAAGCAGGTTTAGTTTTAATGGTATCTTTTAACCTGTCATTTGCAATCCGATGTTTCCAACAAGTGTCCTATCTCTTGGGGTTTTTTTTTTTTCAGGCTGTGGTGACCTGGTGTGGGTGGATCAGCCTGAGATGCACCGTAAGGCTGACAGTATTGCAGGTAAATATGGTGTCTGGATGCAAGACCCAGAAGCTAAGGAACCTTATGGTCCAGAGATGGTATGGCGCATCGATGCCGTAGGGTCTGAGGTGCGTCAACTCTTTGGGTATGAAAACATGGACCAGCTGTCACGTGGGTTTCCTACCAAAGTCCTACTCTTGCCAGAATCTGTGGAGAGCACAGGTGCTACCATGTACAGAGGCTCCTTGTACTACCAACGGAGGCTCAGTCGCACCCTTCTAAGATACGATCTACTCTCAGAGAGCATTGCTGCTCGCCGGGATCTTCCCCATGCTGGCTTCCATGGTCAATTCCCCTACTCCTGGGGTGGTTACACAGACATTGACCTGGCAATAGATGAGAATGGTCTATGGGCCATATACAGTACCAACAAAGTCAAGGGGGCTATTGTACTTTCCCAGCTGGACCCTCACAACTTGGAGGTGAAGGGCACCTGGGAGACTAAAATTCGCAAGACTTCTGTGGCCAATGCTTTTATGATCTGTGGCAAGCTGTACACGGTTGCTAGTTACATCTTGCCAAACACCACCATAAATTACATGTATGACACCGCAACCAGCCAGGGTAAAACAATCTCAGTGCCGTTCAAAAACCGTTATCGCTACAACAGCATGGTAGACTACAACCCAGGGCAGAGAAAGCTACAAGCTTGGGATAACTATTACATTGTATCTTATAAAGTGAGACTAGGCAAGCAGCTGTAAAGCAAAGCTAATGCGTAAATGTCCACATCACCCCAGCTTATAGACGCAATTTGCAGTGTTTTAATATTTGAACATCTAGTGGGACAGCTATCGTTGGATTTACTGATATTCAAAGACAATCTAGCGTTAAAAAGCAACTGGGCAATTCAACCATAATTATGCTGGGGACATAAACAATAGCACCAAGAGTACGTATATATAATGAATACAGAAAATATAAAATTTTCCTGATAATATCGAAGCACCAACAATTGTATATAGGCTGTTATTTTCAAGACCACAATAAAAAGAAATTAAGTGTACCAGTGACTACATTGCACAACTTCACACTAAGTGGACTTATCTTTGTTCATGATAAACGTAAAAAAAAAAAGAAGTTCCTTTGACCAACACGTTACCAAATGGATAGTTTCTAATCATGTATCATATCAGTTTTTTAATAAACTGAGGCCATATTTAATTCCTCAGTGATTTTGTCCACTTATATTAATAGAGAAATTATTTTTCTACCTTTGTAAGTAATGTCTTGTCTTTTGTGTTTAAGGCACTGAATAAATTCAAGGGGGGAAATGTATATGGCATACAATTACAGTAAGCCTACCTTTTGTTTTGACTGACAGATTGTAGAGGTATGCAATTTTAAAAACCATAACAAAACCTTTGCTAGTGTACATGCTGTAATCCTCATGCAATCATACTATCCTTTCTCTGTATATGCTGAATATTTTCCCTACTCTTTTTAATATGCCTCGAGACTCTGTGCTGCTTGAGATGTTAAGATTGGGATCTTGTGGCAATAAGTGTATTAACTTATGAAAATAAAGATTTAGTGTTAATCTGTGTGCCTCTCTTTTTAATTTAGTGGCGTTTGCTTGTTTTGCATGCATTAAGGTATTTTACTGAATTCAGCACCACAAAACAAACATGACCACAGCTCATTTTTTTACAGCATATTATTTTATTAGTTTCTGTAACCAAACCAGGAGAATGTAAATAAGACCTTACATATTTTAATACAGCGATTTAACCCCTGTACAAGTAAAACAAAACAGAAATCAAAAAAAGAAAAGAAAAACAAATCAATTCCCTCTCCTCCCCTTCTGTTTGTAGCTTCTCATATCTACTAAAACAAGAAATGGGGGGGCCATACTGAAACCTTTGTTCAACTGTATGCCCCTTTGCAATAGCAACCCAAGAGGAGTGGTTTGGAGAAAGACCTTGTATACTCAGGCCTGTGGTCACCATAACAGGGTAGTCCAAAACATCTGCGAACCTGTTCAAGACTTGCATCACTCCTGCCCCAAACCCCCCATTGAGTTTGGCTGCCATACGCTCAACATTTCTCTTTCTAAACTTGCAGCTCGTTACCATTGAACCTAAAATCCTTGACCACTAACCCCAACCCCACCCCCTCTGCAGTGATTGGTCAGGAGAGTCAGAGTTGGTCAGCAGCATGGTTGGGAGCTGTGTGGAGAGGCTGGAAGGTGAAAGAATGGAGTTATAGAAGTGGGCGTGTCTACATCGGTCATCGGTCACAGAAAAGGGGAGGGGCTTAAGCTTAGGACATATCAAACATAGGCCTGGTCTGGAGGAACCGTTTACAAAAAAAGAAAATATTCTATCATAATTCTACTATATGTTGACCAAGCTGAGCCATCTTTGCCAAAATCATATTCATCTAAAAGGATTCATGTCTCTTGAAGCCTAACCTTTGGCTAAAGATTCAAGGTTATTTTTGCGCACACACGCAAACGCACAATCTTCAATTCTTGCAGGCGTACACTACTGACCGAGAAGGCAAGAGGGAAGGCTCACAGTGGAGACTGTAATTATCAATGAATTAATCAGAAATGTCGGTAATCAATTCCTAATCTGCTGAAATGACTTTCTATGTATCGTTAAGGCCAATACACATGGTTGAAGAGAAAGAATGAAAGAGCAGGAAATGTTGAGAGGTGTACACACAAACACAATAATTATATGCAAGTGTGTGTAGACATTTCATTGTATCTTTATCGCCATAACCTCAACATTGTTTCTCGAGAACATCAAGAACAGAAATTGGAGAAAACATCTTCAATAAAAAAAAAGAGATATTTGCCTTCCTAAAACGTGTTTTCTTTACATGCAGAAATGTGAAAGTGAAAAGTAAATCATATTGCTATTAAAAATGGCATTCTCACTGTAACTTTTGTTGATGTCTACCTTCATTGTTCACTGGGGATGTACAGTTCACACAATGGAAGGGCGCTTTCTCTGTAATGCCAACCACAGCAGAGAGAAAGGATGAACTGATAAAAAGATGAGGAAAAAGGGCACAGTAAGTGTGAGAAATGCACATCACCTCGTAAAATTAACCTCCATCACTCTACTTCCCTACACTTCTCTGCTCCTTTCAGGTGCTATAGGACGTCACCCCCCTCCCCTCTCCCAAGCCTCCGGCCTCTCAGTCCATCCTTCCATCCATGTGCCCTTTCTGAAGCAACTGAACGGCTACTTGCTCTCCTCTGGTTTAATGGCCTGCGGTTTGATCGGACCCGTCCGTATGGGTTTGGTTGTTGCTAGAGCAGGTTTGTCAGACTCTGTGCGGTCGGATGGCGCCCCCTGGTGATTTGAAGTGATGCTGTCGGTGGGTTTGCCTGCTCCTTCCATGCGGGTGGGCTTGCTTACTGGAGCCTTGAGTTGTTGCTGCTCAGAGAAGAACTTGTGGGTAGACTGTAATACCTCAGCTCTCTGTTTAGCCTGAGAGAGAGAGAGAAAAATAGAGAGAGAGAGAGAGAAAAAGAGAGAGAAAGAGAAAAGAGAGAAAAAGAAAGAAATATTCAAAGGCAATATAGAAAGTGAAATATAGAAATAGAAAACCTCTAAAGCATGTCCACATGTAATTATTGACCCATAATCGTTTTTTTATTCCTGATTTAAGCATTTTCTAATAACCGGGTATCGGTTTTGTTTAACCCGTAAAAATATAAAATAACGTCTCTCAGTAAACTTTAACAGAACAGCCATTAATGCACAAATAAATGTTAAATGCTCAGTGTTTCCTCTAGGATTTTTCCAAGCTGTGGGGGCAGGCCCATTTCCCCGGTGGGGGGGCCTTGTCTCCCCAAAGAATTATAATCGATCATGCGCATCCCGTGTGCAGAATGATGCACTTGAAGCAACACCAAGTCACAGCAAGCAATGCTTCACATTGAAAAGAACATAGCGAAGGGATTATATCTATAATATGCTTAGTAGGGCTGGACGATTTGGGGAAAATGTCATATTGCCATTGCAATTACTGAGGTCAATATTGCAATTGTGATATGCGATTCCGATATAATAAAATGGTTTCATGAGTCCAACTTGCTTGGTTCTAAAGTAAAATGCACACACAGATTAGTGATCATTCTGTGTATTAATGTTTATTTCTCAACTCAAACTACAGACAACAACTAAATGATTGATAACACCTATAATGATCAATAAACCATCAACCAAACCATCATTACAGTGAAAGCTATCAACTTTAAAAAAAAAATTAACAAATTTTAAATTAAGTGAACTTCAAACAATCCCCACATAAACCCATAATAAAAACCATATTTACCTGTGCCCTTCCTGTCTTAACAGGTAGGATACAGAAATTGAATAAAGTTATCAAACAGTATGTGCTGCATGAATTATAAATTATATATAGAATAATCCTTATTAAAGCTACAAAAGTTCTTTAGTCAAGATCAGTGAGTAATTTTCTAATTTCCCTTTATTCTTTTAACTTGACTGACAGAACGCTTTATTCGCTGCTGGCCCTTTAAGAGCACCCGTTGCTGAGACGCGGATCTCACATGCGCCTCATAGCACAACTCCTTTCGTCCTTAAGACTTTTCTTACGTTATGAAGATACTCGACAAAACGACATTTTGGCATAATTGTGTGTGTTATTGTTCGTTCAAGCTCGAAAGAGAACTGTAATCTGGCACGCGTCAGTGCATGCGCATTATGGCGCGCGTCTTTCTGCGAGTCTCATTTAGGGCATTCACAGGCAGCTTTTCAGTTCTTGTCGTGCAAAATGCGAAAAGGCATTTCCACGAATAAGAACAGGATCGTGTTGTGTAACACTAGTCAAAGGATGACAAAAAAGAAGAGATGCTGCGTTAATAGCCCTAATTTGTTTATTTCATATAAAATCGCGGCATTTTGCGTTATATAATTGCATAGGTTTGAGATCGCTATTACGATTGCGATATGATTAATCGTGCAGCACTAATGCTTAGTGTATTCTATATGCAACAGTTTTTTGAGCCTTTTCTTTTAACAGTTTTAAATTTCAGTGCGCATGAAGAACAATAGCACTCTCTCGACTCCATGCTGTAATCTTACATAAAGGAATGTGAAAGGTATGGGCAATAAACTCCACTCCAGCAAGATAAAGTCATTTTATGAAAACCATAGACCTTTATGCTTTATCTACAAATGAAGTATAATAATGGGAATATTGACCTTGAAGAGAGTGTCGTCGTGTCGCAAACGAACGCGACGAGCTGTGTGAATTCTGAATGGAGAATGACTGAGGCGAGATGACTTTCCGTTAACTTTAACTTAGCGACTAAAATTACACATTATGCAATGACTTTAGAAGTCTTGGAATATAGGGTGAAAACTTGATTGTGCTTTACAAAGTTTTTTATGCCTTTAGTGGGGCTTAACAAAATAACATAATACTATGCAGAATATCGGACGTCACTGAGAAGCTGCAGCCGTGGCGGGAGGATTTTAAGTGTGGCGGCCCGCCACGGGAGAATGAATGTAGAGGAAACACTGTGCTTCATATGTAATTTAAACGTGGCACTAAAAAAGAGAATCTCACAGAGAGATGAATGCATTAATTTCTTGATTTTAATCGATTCTCATTTTGATTAACCTGTATTGATTCTTAAATACCTAGAATCTATCCAGTAGTCTATGTGGTTTAAGTTGATGCGTGAACAAAACAAAACATCCATTCCATCAAATATATATAAGATAAATATAGACCCTTTTACAGTTGGTAAACATGGTGACGTTTTTTCGTGGGCGGAGCTTAGGTGGAGGCAGAAAGATCCATCTGGCCACTTCACTAACGCTAGTTAGCTAGGATTGTTAGCTTGTTTTTTTTAACAATGACTGGAGAAAATCCGATATTATCTTAATGTGCAAGGTCACTCAGGACCGCGATTGTTATTTCCAAAAGTTATTTTTAACGGACGGAACCAGATTGGCCGACCCGTAGCTGCCTACACACTCACTCAATGCATGGACGATCTGACAGGATTAACGTACGCTACCTCGGTTGAGTGGCCTGACTTCTAAACCTACCTTATAGAGAAACCGATCGTAAAGAGAAACTGAGGGCATATAAATCTTTAGATGCCTATATGGTCCTGTACAAGACTTGTGTACGATCCGCAGTTCTGCCGAGCCAGCGCCGAGACCACGACAATGTAAAGAGTGACATTACAGTGCGATTTTAATGATGTGAATATTTTCTAGAAATAAAAGTTCCAGATACAGCATATTCATTTTTCATCAATTCTTGCACCAAACAACACAACAAGATGACATTTAATAATAGTAACAATTATTTAAGCTCCTTATTATGTAGCTGAATCTGTGCTGTTTTGCATTGGCCGCCTCCAGTTTTCACTTTGTTTTGCCTCCAGGTAGCGCCGTGATGTAACTGTGACATCGGCGCAAAAGGGGTCTATATATAAAATAAATAAATATATATATATATATATATATATATATATATATATATAGATGTATAGTCCTTGCATTCTTTCTTAACACACCTGAATGAAAGGCTCATTATGCAGGTCATTGTCTTCTCAGGTGTGAATCAGAGCATTATTCATGATCCTTCACGCCCCTATGCATATTGCCTTTCCAAACAAAAAGTGTTTTACAAAATTTTAATCAATCTATTGTTTTATGTGAATGATTAGGCAGGATGATGTTGGAGAAAAAAAATCTAGGAGACAACATCCATTAGTCAACAGTATTGTGGACACATTTAGTGTGTTTTGTAGCCTTTTTTTTCCCGAAACTTTAATTTTTAGTTTTTTTAATAACCATGCATGCATAAACATTCTCAAAAATGTACATACTTGTTGCTCACATATTATGGTAGCCCTGTTTATAGTGAATGGAGTGTAATGCCATCTTTGTCATTAATATGTTTAAGCAACTAAAAAAAGCACAAATGTCAGGGTATGTAAAAACATCAAGGACCCCAAAAATCCCTTAGATCACAAAGGGTTCAATTCCTAAGCTTATTTTGGATTTCCTTCTGATATTAAAAAAAACTTTGAAGCCTCCCCTTACCCACATACAATTAAGTAAATAAACAAATGGTATCATTTAAAAAATATTGTCCATAATTTTATAAAACCCTGGACAATGTGTTTTTGAATCTTGTTTTTGAAAGTGCCAACCACGGTACCAGGTTAACCCCTTCAACCCGAAGTGTTTTTTTTATATCCAGATGCAGCTCACATGTAGAGGGACTATACAAAAATATAACATTTCATTTTTGAGTTATTCTGTCAAATAAGAAAAATATGCAAAGTCAAAAAATATATATTTATTTATATTGTCTTTTATTAGCGGTTTCTCAGCATGAAAATGTCCAAATGTAATGTAAATTTTTTAAAACTAAAAAAGTATTCTATCAAACGATACCTACCTTTTGACTAGTTATGAGTCTTTAGTTCTTTTTATGTCGCTTAGAATTGTTTTTTATAAATGCCTTCCAAATGTGTGAGGACTAAACAAAAAGGCTACCTTTGTTCCAAATGATGTAACTTTTGATTACTTAATGCCATCACCTCACCACAAAATTTGGAGGAACTTCCCCAAAAAAGATTTGTCCCTCTACCATATTTTCTTTGTTATTGCATGTCAAACAAGATAGATATGCAAAACCGAAATAGAAATGATATATATTTTTAGTCTTTTAACAGCAGTTTCACAGCATGAGAATGTCCATATGTAAATGTAATTTATATTTTCAAAAGTTTTGAAAAGTGTTCCATCAAATGAAACCTACCTTTTGACTCACCTTGCTATAGTTTTGGAGTTATGAATCTTTAGTTTTGTGCGTCAAAAACCTCTAAAAATGCACTCAGGGCTTAAATTATTTTAAATGAGGCCCCCTGGTTGAGAACCAATGCCGTAAAGTCATCATGAAATCAAAACCACACTTTTACCTTAATAAATGTATTCACAACGCTCACCTTAAGGTCCTGTTCTGCTTTTAGGGCAGCCTGTGTTCCGCGGGGTACTAACGGGGGACCAGAAGGTCCACGTGGAGGGTGCTGGGGTCTGGGATGGGGCATCAGACCACCGCTCAGGTTAGGGGACATGGGTGGACCCATGGGTGAACGCTGTACACCTCCAGGAAAGGAATTTCCATGGGGTGGACGTACCAATGGAGACACCATGTTGGCCTGAGACAACATCTGTAAGCATGATAGAGACGAGAAACACAGTTAATCCTACAGAAGTGTTATTAAATTAAGATTTCCCAAAAACTTACTTGGTGTCTGTAGTGGCTGACCTGTGGGTTGAACTGTCCTGGGAAGTGCTGGGCAATGCGCATTCCTGCAGATGCCGACTGGAACTGTTTGGGATACAGCATGCTGTTCATCTTGCTAGACTGACTACTGGGGCTTGTAGAGCTCGCCCTGAGAGCACAAACAAAGATGTCAGAAAACACACAAAATATGCTTACGACATAAAACGGATATGCATCCAGTACACAAAAAAGCTCCAAGCTAAAGGTTATTTTCCAGCCAATGAGCTGTAATTGAGCATCTGTCTGTTGGTCTAGTTTTTGCTCTGGTGTGTTCTGCACCATTGACACTAATCAGACCCCATCAGTGGCTTTTCGGCCAATTGAGCATGTTCAATTGTCAGGAGAGTTTACTGAAACAAACCATGAGAGGAAAAACTCAAGTAACAAATGCAAGCAAACGAAAACGGTTTGGGGTGTCTGGGCCTTAAGCTGGATGGCTTTGCATGCATACACACTCACCTATAAGGGCTAGATGTGGGGGTAGTGCTTCTGGCGCTGATAGGTGGTGTTCCAGGCTTCATATCCATTCCACCACTGAAGAGCTTCAGATCCATCTCACACATCTACAACAGATAAAAAGCATGCATGTTTCAAGTGTGGAGGAAATAATCTACTACAGGGTCTACAATGAAAACTTGCCAAGCAGCAAAGATGATTAAATTTCCCTGGTAAATTACTAAATTACTATTGCAAGCAAATCAAACCACTTATGAAGTGCAATACATTTTAAAATTGTAAAAAAAAAAATTAATAGCAGTGCATTTGTGGACAAACCTTATTGGAAGGCTGCATCATACTGTGTGTATTCTGACCAATAAGGCCACGGTAGGGCGGATTGCTGGGGGGCTGGCGGTTGAGGCTGGGAGGCGGGCCTTGGGGAGGGGTCGGAGGAAGGGACTGAGGCAAAGCCAAGAGCGGCTGTCCACCACCAGAGCCGAAGTTGGGCAAAGACAACTGTGAACCTGGCACAGGAACGGTCACCTGCTGTAGGGCAGAGCTGGGACTGTGTGTTGAGCTGTAGTAGCTGCTCTGCTGCTGGACTTGTCCAGAGTACAGGTTGGAGTGCTGACTCATTCCCTGACGCTGCAGATCATCAAACATGGACAAAACACACAGTTTAGATCAAGGTCATGGTAGACTGAAAAAGTGGGAAGGAGGACATTTTAATTAGCCACAAGCAATTGAAATTAAATTCTGACCTGCAGTAGGTGCGTGTCTATCAGCTGTGATCCTCCCATGCCAGAGGGCTGATTCATTTGGGGTTCAAACAGGATTGGGATGTGTTGGGTGTTTGAGGTCTGTTGAAAGGCCAGGTTGGACTGAGGCTTGCCCAAATCTGGGGGCTGCACTCCAGGGTAACTATGCAGTGGTGTCCCAGACAGCATCATGGCAGATGTCTGGGAGAGGCTGTTCTGCATAAATGCCTGCTGAGACCTGTGAAGGGAAGAGCACACAATAAAAAATATTGAAAAATTATTTATTACATATAAAATTGTTGGATGCAAAAGAGTTAAAAGCAGTCTGCAGTACCTGTAGCTTTGTAAGGAGGAGCTGAAGAGATCTTGCTGTTGAGACACTGGAGGTCCAGTGTTGAGGCTAAGCTGGGCCTGGTGCTGATGCTGATGCTGGTGTTGGTGTTGGTGTTGGTGTTGATGCTGTCCCTGAAGAGGAGCGTAGATGGGGATGGGGATCTGCTGCACCCCTGTGGGCTATATGGAACAAATCATTACAGGGTGTCAACCAATCTCAATTTCAGGAAAATAGGACTACTGGAAACATTCTTCCAAGATAATGACTTGACAAGCTGATCCTGCTGGAGGAAGACACTGGTTGTGGGTGATACCTGTGAAAGTCCAGGCTGATAGCCTTGCTGTTGGGCTAAAGTAGGAGGAGCCAAGCGAGGGTGGGGCGCACTGAACAAGTGGCTTGTGTCCATGTAGAAGGCCGGGATTTGAGTTGCAGTACCTACACGATTAGAAAAAAAAATTAAAAAAAATTGATCGCTAATTCAAAAGACTTGCATGCAGATGAAGATAGTCATATCAATTAGAAATGGTAACATGCGTATTGTTCAGAAGTCCGTGGTCAATTAGTAAAGAAATTAATGCTTTTCAGCAAGGATGCATTTAATTAATCAAAAGTGACAATAAAAAAAAATGTTAAACATTTTCTATTTTAAAATAAATGCTGTTTTTTTTTAAAACTTTCTATTCAACAAATAATCTTGAAGAAAAAAGTATCACAGTCTCCACAAAAATATGAAGCAGAATTGAAATTTCCTAATATTCATTTTTTTACAGCTTTTTTAATCAAATGAATGCAGCCTTGGTGAGCATGGACTTCTTTTAAAAGTCTTACCAACGACCTTTGATCTTTTGAACAATAAATGTATTAAATCAAATGAACATTAATGATCATTAAAAAGACAATGTTCAAAATGAATAAAACTAATTTATATGGGCTGCATGAGGGTGTTGTGGTCTATAAATAAAAGTACCTGCTGCAGACTGGGATACGAACACCTGTGGGGTCTGTTGCTGCGGTAACAGAGAAGGCGCACAGCCCAGTTGGGAAAAGTTAGTGTTGGACATAACTGAACTCTGCAGTTGCTGGGGCTTCACCTTACAGATGTTGGGAGGGTCAGAGGCAGATGTGCTCTTCGTGCTTAGAGAGGACGTTGTGTAGGTCGCAGATCCTGTGTAATAGAGGACCGATATTAAAATTGCCAATTTCTGTTTAAAACGCTTCTACCAGCACACCCCATGAAAGGGTCAAAGCATAAAGGGTAAACTCCTACCAGACAGTGAGGTGCTGGGGGTGACAGAGGCCACAGGTATCTGAGGCACTGAAGCACTGGAGAAGGAGTTGAAGGAGGCACTGCCTGATCCTCCTCCACTGGTGATGGGGGAAGCAGAGGAGGTGACAGGAGAGCTCTTTTCCCCCAGACTAGGCGAGTTCTCCCAAGCCTTGCGTGCTGATTCCATCTGCAGGAAAAAGGTGAGAAGCAATTTTGGTGGCATCTGCCTTCACATACTTGTATAAAGTATGTTTTGTGATTATTTATGACTGGTGAAACTATTAAAAAAAACAACAAAACCTGGCCTAAACTTTTTGTGTTTTGCTGCCTTTGATTAATGGATCAGTATTCGTAAAACGAACGAATGAATTCAGTGCGAAAAATGAATCATTCAGTGTGCGTCTTACTTTGAGTGTGAGGTCTACAGTAGCAGGAGAGACTGTGGCAAGGCTAGAGCTTTGCTGCAGGGCTTCTCTTCGCTGTATAGGTAACGGGTGCGGGAGAGCCACCTGAACCAACAACCAAGAAAAGGATCAGAACACAGGAAAAACTACAAATACAAAGATTGATAGAAGCACTGAAGCACTTACAGGGGTCACAAGGCTCTCCTCCATTTTTGTCCCTGGAGTGGGGACGTTGTCAGCTAAAGAGGACGACGGGATTGTGTAATCAGTCACCGATTCCTGCACAATAAATAGACACTGTCAGGGAAAAATAAACTCTACAATTAATTTTTCTACAAAATTTACACTACTAATCAAAAGTTTGTGCTTGTAAAAGTCTCTTACTCTCAACAGGGCTACATTTATTTTAGTAATAGACAATTTAAAAATTTGATTAAATATTCTTGAGCATAAATGTTGAAAACAGCTGTGCCGTACAATATTTTTGTGAAAAGTGATTTTTTTTCTAAATTCTTTGATGAATTTCAAATAATGCTGTTCTTTTGAACTTTTTGTAACATAAAATGTCTTTAATGACACTTAGGATAAATTTAATGCCACCTTTCTGAAGAAAAACGAATTTTCCAAACTCACTTTTGAACGGTAGTTTACAAAGGAAAGAATTGAGGCAGTAGGATATTATGTTGCACCTTAGAGCTGCTGGAGTATTCTGCTGATGGAGCAGTGATCATTCCCTCAATATCTCCACCCATCTCAGGAACGTTGTCTTTAGTAGGTGAGCTGGAGTCTCTGTCTCGACTGCCTCCAGTCCCACTTTTATCCAGACCCTCTCCGTCGGACTGACGCACATCTTTGGCAGCCTTGCGGTTCTTGAGTGAACGCTCTTTACCAATGGGTCCAGGTTTATATTCCTTGTGTTCCAGAGGAGGGATGTCAGGTAACTGCAGAGGAGAAATTCATTTTTAAATGTTCATTATTCACCTATATACACAAAAGTCTGAAACCACAAATGAAAAAGTTTCTATTTTGCATATCAGCACAACAATTTGTCCCCCTTTTGCTTATGACAACAGCTAATTTCACAGCCGTGCCATATATCTCGCAAACATACAAATATTGTTTCACTTGAAAATTCTGCTGCATTATGTGATGCAAATGCTGCTGCACATTCTATAGACAAAAGCAGGGACTACCTTCTGAGGTTTGACAGGTCCAGCACGGGGCTGTTTTTGTCTCTGCTCTTTGGGTTCGGGTAGTTTATTATCAGAGGTTTTCTCTAGCAGGGTGGGCACTCCATCACTCTCAGTGCTGCCTGCTGAAGAGGGGGCACCAAACTGGATGCTGTCCATACCCAGCTCAACCCCAGTGTCTGTGACAGCTTTCACACCCTAAAAACACACACACACCACCACTTACTAAAGTTCAGAATTTCAAAATGGTGCTAGTCAGCCTGTTACAGTTTCAACACTGGTTTAATTCTTATTCAATTCAAAGATCCTTCTCACACCTCAGGTGTAACAGTCCCAGTAAATGAAGTAAGGGGTTTGTTCCAGGCACTGACAGAGGGAGGCTGGGGAGGGCTGATAGGTCCAACTACAATAGAAAGAGAAATGGGATAACCATCACATACAGAACTGGTGTAAAAATTAAAACCAAAAAAAGATGTCAAAAAAAAAAAAAACTCCCTGCTCTTAATTTATTTCTTAGTTTTTCAAGAAACTATTCATGTAAACATTAATAAAGGCAGTATGCGGTGTAAGTAAACATGGGTTCAAGTTGAGACACTTACGTTTCTTGACGTCAGAGAGAACAGTGGAGCCAGCCACCTTGTTCTCCCACAGTTCAGTACCCAGGGTGTTGTGCGTCTGACTCTTGGCAGAGAAGTCTACCGGTGCAGGAGCCAGAGGTGCAACAGCACCCTCAAGAGGCTGGGGCGGGCTAGTGCTCTGACTAGATGCAGGCAGATTGTGCTGCGACACAGAGATGGCTTGCTGTGGTTGAGGTTGCTGCAGGACAGACTGGGGCTGTGGAGCTGGGGCTGATGGTTGCTGCTGCTGCTGCTGCCCTGCTGCCATTCCTTGCTGCTGTTGCTGTTGTTTTTTGGCAAACCGCGGAGGAAGTTTAGAACCGCCACCTCCCCTGCCCTTCTCTCCAGAGCCCTTTTTACTCCAGTTCTGCAAAGCATTTGGACAGACATAGAAGATATTGGATGAAATTTTGGCATTGCACCAACTGCCATGGTTCCATGCATGAAATACATGAAAGCAAACAGCCAAAACTAAATTCTTTCCACACCTGTGAAGTCTGCTCTTCCTTCTTCCTTCGTTCCTCATCCTGCAAGCGTTTCTGCTGTTTCCGTGAAACAACCTCAGTGAACCCATCATCGGTAGTGTTCGACTGAGGGTCCTCCAGCGTTGTGACTTCTGGGTGGTCATCAATGATCACTACACCTGTGGAAGAGAAAAAAGGACAAATGAGTTTCAAACCTTTTTATTCATTTTACCAATATTAACCCTCTGAGACCTAAGGGTATTTTAACAATTAATTTTCCGTCTGGTGTTATTTACTAAAAAAGCTTGTAAAACATCAACCTTTTGGTGCACAGACATTGGTTGCATTGATGTCACCTGAATGTAAAATAAGTTATGGGACCATAAATACAAATGGAAAAATAAATCGGAAATTGAATAACTCAAATAATTATTGAAATCACACACAAATAAATAAAAGCTAAGCAAAGTTCCTCTGGAAAATAGTTCGTTTGTCTTTGGAGTCCTGGAGCACAGGAATAAACATTATAACTTGTACAGAACAAAAACTATTGACATTTTTCCAAAAGAAGTCCTGGTGCCAAGCCTCAAAACAGTTCCTATCAGCAATCACACAGTGGGCCACATCACAGGCTTTGCATTTCTATTTTATTTATTCTTTTATTTCTTTTCTTTTACATTTCTTTTATGTTCTTTTTATTCTTTTATAATACATTTATACTACTATAATACTTTTTTTACAGTAAATAAATAAATGGCACTTCAGCTGGGTCTATCCTGGTAATCTAGTTCCTCATCTGTCAAAAAGCTCTGTTCTCCTGAAAATCCATCATCCTGCAATGCACCAAAATAGACCAGCGCTTTATTTACGTCCATTTCTCTGTGTTTCTCTGTGAAACGCGCGTCTCTATCTTTCTCCACTATATCAGCGCTTGGTTCATGCGTAATGACGCACACCAATGTTTACGACGGATCAGCCTGTAATTGGTCAAAAACCATCACGTGAAAACATCACGTGATATCCAAAATGGCAGCTAGCATAGAGCTAGCGGGAAAAACGACAGAATATTTATAAATTATGGACTTCAAGAGTATAAAAGTTTGATATACATGATTGGATTTATTGCTGAAAACCTCTGAAAGGAAGCACAAGTTCCAGACTGGATAGAAAACCTTCTGTAAAGGCTAGAAAGACACCAAAGACCCGTGATGGCTAGCTCGTTAGCTTTCTGCTGTAAAAAACGGTAAGAAAATCGATAAATCTGTCATCGAGTTATGTAAACATTTATCGGAGGTGGCCTGTGGCATTGTTGACGATGCCGTCGGTCTCAGAGGGTTAAGACTTAGCAACACAATACTACTTTAATACAACTCCAAATTTGTAAAATGGATATAAAATAAATTAGATTTGAGGAATACGATTAGTTCATTTATTTACCAATTTAACTGACAAAAGAAAAAAAGCCAATGTTTTCACTGACCAAATTAATTGCATTTTGTCAATTTAAACAAATATTGATTTTGATGGCTGCAATGCACTACAAAAAAGTTAGGACAGACCAAATAAAAGAGAAAAGACTAGAATATCCAACTTAATATCCAGGCATTTTAAAAGTTCAATAACCGATAATAGGTTAGGCAAAGTGCAAATCCATCAAGACGAAATCTTTTCTAGGAAGCAAAACAATGCCACGCATAATTCTGCACATGCTAAAAAGTGGTTTCTAGACACTACACCATAGAAGTGACGAGGTTCACTGCCTGCAGTCTAGATCTGTCTCATCATAAAAAGGAGACAACGACTGTTTAGAAGCTGTCATGTATTAGTCGAGATTCTGCAAAAATTCCACTTGCAGTTATTATTCCTCAATTGCCAAACATCAAAAAAGTGTAATTAAAATGAAAGGTGATGTGCCAGAGGAAAACATGCCAATCATCACAATTAATTTATTTTTACTTAAATACACTTAAGTTTGTCAGTGAAAACTGAAAATCTTGATTTTATTGCATTCTACAAAATGTTCCAACATTTCTGGATTTGGGGTTGTAATATTAAAACTTCTTGCTTGGAGCGAATCAGCTAGCTAAAACGTCAGGGATAGAGTCACTAAAAACGGTCTATTAATTACAATAAAAAAGGTTGCTACTGGAGGTAACTACTGCTATATAGACAGAACTCTTGAATACTCACTAGCATAATTGTTGAGATCGAACTGAGACAAAGCATTTTCTTTCTCTTTGGGTTTTTTGACAGCTTGTTTTGCTTCCTCTTTCCGCCGACTGGGTGCTTGATCTTTCCCAGCCTTTTGACCTGAACCAGCCTGAGCAGCCTCTGCATTCTGAGCAGCAGCACTACAGGGAATAGAGAGAAAATATTAGCTCATCAGAAAATCAGAGCAAGGCAGATTCAAATATGTTTCCAATAATGCTTTAATAAAGCAGGAAGCCATGAAAGGCTGAAGTATACTCAGAGCACCTTTAAAATTAAGCAACTGAATAGATGGTCTAAGCGATGTCACGTCTTTTTTAGGCCGAAACATTTTTTTCTCACATACCGCAAACATCTCACTATCTGCAAGCTGCCTGTCCCCTGAAAAAACCTTAAAAAAAAAAATCTGTAGACTTCTGTCTCTGTAGACAGCCCAGGCTCCACAAACGGCAGCAAAAACAAACTGGTCCAACCTGGACCACGAAAAATAAACAGTGTTCCAGCCAATAACCGACAAGAATGATTTGGGGGTGGGGGTTGGGGGGTTAGTGCGCATGCAATGGAAGGGAGGAGGGAGGGTCGAGTTTGCCTCTGTTTTGTTTGACAATACTTCGAACGTCAACAAGTGACGTCACCCAACAACGCTTAGAGCACCTTTAAGATGGTGCTGCACGAGTTTTGTTCTGAATTGCAATTCTTAACTTAGGCGGGGTGTACAATACTGCTTATTGCCAACATCTTGTAGAGTTTAGCTCCAACTAGCCTCAACACACCTGCCTGGATGTTTCATGTAATATTGAAGACTTGATTAGCTAGTTTAATTTAGGGTTGGCGCTAAACTAAAGAACAGTGGCCGTCCTGGATTGAATTTGAAGTATAAGCAAAGTAACAATGATGCTTGCATTAAAGCATAACAGATAGATTATAAACTGCTATATATAAACTGAGAATGTCTACTTCCTGGTACAACGCAGTTCAGGACTCACCCCCTGCGTCCCGATTTGGCTCCAGATCCTCCCCTTCTCTCGCTCTTGCCTCCAGGGTAGCCTCGACCTGTTTTAGGCCCACTATTTCCACGGCGGTTCTGTCGATCAACAGGCCGCTGGCTGGAGAAGCTCCTCTTGGCTGCTGAGGCTAACTCCCGTTTTGGGATTGCCACACTTTCTGTGGGGGATTTGCTCTGTCCCCCAGAGATCAGTGTGGGCACGGAGGAGGAAATAGTGGCAGTCATGGCCGCTTCAAGTTGCTTCTTGTCCTCTCGCTCTCTCCTTTCATTGAAGTCACTACTCTCGGACGCCGTCTCCCACTCCTCATTGGCCTGGTCAGATGAATTCTGATTGGACAAGTCTGGTGATTTGCTGCCAGCAGCAACTACAGTAATGGCTCCCATTTCAGGAACAACCGTTTCTGTGACAGGAAGTTCAGGCGAAGTCACATCAGGAGTAAGAGAAGGTGCTGTAGTTGCATCAACCAATCTCTCGGGCAAAGTGGCCAGAGTTCCAGGAGCTTTAGACCGTGTTGGGGAGACAGACGTAGGTACTGGCATTCCAGGAGTAGCTTCACCAGCAAAAACTGCTGCTTCACGTTCTTTAAGCCTCCGAAATCGTGGGGGCTTGTCCTGTCTGGGTGGACGGGCTGCCCTTGGTCTCCGGGGCCTCTCCTTCATGCTTTGTCCACCCTCTCCAATCTTCTTGTTATCATACCTGGCGTGACGTCGTTCAGAGGGTGTGCTATCAGTACGTGAGGTCTCAGCTTCCTCTGGTCGAAATGTCTCCATGGGCTTTGAGGGCCACTGTGAGCCCTCTTTGACAGCAGCCCGACGGAAAGGAGCAGGTCTGTGGCCACCTCGTTCCCTGCCACCCCCTCGCCTGCTGTGCAGACTACCCTTTCCCCGGCGTGCAGCCTCACCCTTTAACAGAAAACCTGGTTTAGGTCGCCCATCCTCATCTCGAGACCCAGGTTTTTCCGAAATAGGTCCAGCTGCAAATCCGGAGGCAGATTTAGATGATCGTGATTCCGCCAGTTCGCGACGAATTGGTTTGCTTGGTTTTGCGCTGGCCTCGCGATCTGATGCTCCGGTGTCACTGGCAGATTCTCTACCTTCACTTTCAGAATCTGTGTCCGAGCCTCGTCTACGTCTGCGCTTGGGCAAGACTTCGAAATCTGAGCTCTCACTACGGGTTTCACTTTCTTCCCGGCAGCGGAACCCAGCAGTCCCCGTAGCACTTAATGGCAAGTCTGAGCGTGACCGCGGCTCTCTGTATGGATAGTCCCCTCGACTCCGGCCACGGCTACCTCGACCCCTCCCACCATAGCTACCTCTGTAACTGCGGCCACGGGAATAGTACTCTCCTCGACCGCGGCCTTTATAATCAGATGGCCAGTCCTTCTCTCTTTCTGCTTCTCTGTCCCTCTCTCGGTCACGATCTCGCTCTCGCTCCCTCTCGTCTCTGCGATAAGATCTGGGAGGGAGGTTGGACTCTTTGCGAGATGGTAGTTTGGGTTCAGGACGTTTGTCATTAGTTGGAGGCATGTCTGACTTTTCCTCAGGAGCAGTTGAGACTGTAGAAACTGCAGTTGTCTGAAGATCTCTGGATTTTGCTCCACCAGTCGCTACTCCCACTTCAGGTTCTACCACTACTTTCTTCCCATCACTAGTTGGCTTCAATCCTTCTTTTAGTCCTGTTTCTACAGCAGCTGAAGAAACACCTTTGTAAGTAGCACCCTCTTTTTTAGATCGTTCACCGCGCTGCTCTTCTCTCTCTCTTCTCTGTTCCCTCTCTTCCTTCATGTCTCGTAGTACAGGTTTCTTAATAGGTCCAGATCTCCTGACTGGCCTCTCCCCTCCTGGACCCTCTCTCCTCCCGGATCCAGATCCACGGGATCCCCAGCGCATTTCTGACTTCTGCTTGCTGGGTGCAGGTAAAATAAGCTTTTCAGTTTTGTGCATACCATCATTAGACACAGGAGGAGTGGAACGGCTGTTGTTCACGGACCCTTGACCAAAAGGCTCCTTTCTGGACTTGTCCTCAGGTCTTTCTACAGTATCAGGGAGCTCCAGGGTTTTCTGTGCTATGATAAGTCCTTCAAATCTGGGCTCTTCCAGTTTCAATGAGTGACTGGAGCCTTGAGAGATACTCCGTTTCAATACAGCCTGTCCAATGGCTTCAACCTCATCTGCACCGGAGAGGTTAACCTCCTCAGGTTCAAAGGAAGGGATGACTGGTGTTCTGTCAGTCTGTAAGAGACCTGGTACCTCTTCGGTAATACGACTAAAAGCAGATAAGGTTTCAGATGAATCCCTGAAGAAGTCACTTTTGCCCCGGGGCTCCAGTGGGCTATGGTCCTGAGGGTAGACACCTGATAAACCTCTATCCAACTCCAGACCAGCATCCAATCTAAGAGGAGACGAGGAAAACAACATCTTAGCACTTGATCAACAGGTTATTTCTAACGGTGGGGGAAATCGGATAACTATATTTACACTGCAGTCTCTCACCTTGGCTCCTTGCCATCTTCTCGTCCTTTAACAGTGGCAGAGGAAGGCAGGGGCTCTGTTGGGGGATATGGGTCAGAACCCCAAACCATTCGAGGCTCACTGGGAACTCCGTGTTCTCTAATTGGTCTAGTCAGATGATCAAAAGTGTCTGATCCAGAGCTGCTGTTGTCTGTGGGCTCTCGTCGTACCAGCTGCTTGGGAGGCATTCTCCCTGATGATGAAAAATAGTTACCACGGCTGCATTTATAGAAAGCAGCAAAACAATTTCTCCAAAACAAAATGTCAGAAACAATGTTTTTCACAATACTAAAACTGAAGAGGTATTTTAAAAGAAAAACGAGTAAGTGAAAGAGCATAAGATGAAAACGAAGAAATTTGTTACTGTACATTTTAAATAATTTACAGTGATTGGGTTTGTTACCTAGTAACTAGGAAAGGAAACAATTTCAGTTTGCAAGAAATACCGGGGTGCATAGGAGGCATGTCTATTGGTGGCCGTCCAGACATCATACGAGGATCCATATAAGATTGCATCATTAGCCAGCGTGGGTCAAAGCCCATCGAGGCTAGGTGTTGGTGGTGTGGGCCAAGAGGTTGGTATAAGGATCTGTGCTGAGGGGGAACAGAAGCCCCTGAGGGAGAGACTGAACCCCCTCCACCTTGTTGTTGCTGCTGCTGTTGTTGCTGCTGCCACTGTTGTTGTTTAAGCTGTTCCTAAAGAATTTAAGAGGAAAAACAATTAACTACATTAAAGCAAGAATTACTACAAAGAACTTTAGTTCAAACAATATCTGACAGGTGACCTGAACAAACTATATATATTTTCATCTTTACACGGTTCAAACTAAAATTGATGCTTAAAAAGGAAGCAGGCAACAAACAAAACCAGGACAGTGTGTAAGCACCTGTTGTCTAAGGAACCTAGGTGGCAAAGACTTCTGGAACTGTTTTGAGTATCCAGAGGTGACAGAAGGGCGAACAGCAGTCCCAGTCTCCCCCTCATTTTCCAGTTGAGATGGAAGAGGTGTATCTTCATTTACAGAATGATCCAGTCTGGACAAAGACAACTGAGGCTCCTCAACTGAAACAAAAAATTAGACAATTTTAAATAAAAAACTAGCACACTGTACAAGAATTATTACACATCAGGCAGAAGATCTTATCCCAAGCGACAGGGAATTGAACTAATGACCTTTTTTCATAACCTTAATGACTATTTTTGAGCTAGAGTACAAGAAAAGTCCATCCCAATTTATTTTATGCATCAAACCAGGTGAAATGCACTCAGTGTAATAACAGTGATGGGAGCATCTAAACATGCTAATTAAATATCAATGAGGATGCACTGCTTTTATCCTGATGGTGAACTGTACCAGCAAAATCACATCAACCGCACATGATGTTTTCAATCCATTTACCTCTGGGCTCCTCAGCACTGAAGTAGTCTCTCGTTGGTTGTCTATCCACTTGTCTATGCTCCTCCTCACTAACAGCATTATCAACCTTGCTTTGGTGTTCTGGGGCAGTCCTATGAACAGGAGGGCTAGGTTGCCGAGTAAGAAATTGTGGCACCTCCTCCACAGTGGGCTCTGTCCTTTGATGGTTTGGCATGGGAAGGCAGGGTTGCTGTGCAGGGGGAGGTGGTGCAGGCTGAGGGGGTGGAGAATCAGCAGGTTGTTTAGGCACAGTTTCAGTCATTTCCTGGTGGTCATCATGAGCTTGCGTAGTTGGTTTAGAAGTTTCTGTAGTTGAAGGTCGACGTTTCTCCTCCAGTTGTTTGAGTTTCTCTTTGCAGGCAGCAAGTCTCTGTTCTTCCATGCGCCGCTCCTCCTCCTCACGCCGTCTGCGAGCACGCTCTACTGCTTCTGAGAGCTCTGACTGCTTCTTCCGTTTCTGTCGCCATGCTTCTGTTTCCTCCTCACCAGCAGGGGGTGCTGAAGTGGGCAGCTTTGTAACACGTGGGCCACCACTTCCCACAGAGCGTCCAACAGTCTGTCCCTGCACAATTATATATATTTTTTGGAAATTAGACAAAAAGAAAATACGTTTTCGCAAACTTTGTCAAACCAGAGAATGGTCCCAGTGCATGACATACCTGTTGTTCCATCTTGCTATAATGGACAAGATTGCCAGGGGAGGGAGCCCTGGGATCTCCACTTTCCACCCATGAACTCTTGCCATCACTCCTCTCCTCTGCTCCTTCTTTCCATCCCTCCTGGACATCAATTTTTCTTGTTCGCATACGATCAACTTTAGTCATCCACTCCCTGTGTTTTACCAAGAAAGTTTTATAGGACAAATTTTCAAAATACGTTCTGCAATTTTTATTCCATAAAAATATAAGTGTTTACCAGCCATCGCCTTTCTCCTTAGCTGAATGGTTCTCCTCATCATCACTAAAGTTCAGTTTCTCAGTATAGTCAACTTCCATCTGGGCACCTAAATAAGACCAAAAATGTGAACTCAATGGATATTGATTTGAATATGAAATAAAATGTGGCAATACCTAATAAGCCTGGGAAATAAAAACTTTGTAATCATTTAATCTGATTATTTTTTACTTATCTTCTGGTACACACCCAATGACCTTCCAAATGTAAGACCACTCATAACATGAAGTACCGACATTGTTGCAAAAATGGATGCTTTGCATTACAAGTTAAAAAATGACAACAGGTATTGACTAAATTTACATTTATTCATTTAGCTGACGCTTTTATCCCAAGCAATTTACAACTGCTATATATATGTCAGAAGTAGCACACCTCTGGAGCAACTAGGGGTTAAGTGTCTTGCTCAGGGACACATTGGTGTCTCACAGTGGATTCGAACCCGGGTCTCTCACAACAAAGGCATGTGTCTTATCCACTGCACCATCACCACCCCAATGATTCCCATTTTATGTCAAGCTGATAGCCATGTAAATGTTATAGCAACCTCTAACAACTGGGACATTTCTACTGTTGCACTGTACATCCCCCACCTAACCCTACCACAAACTATGGAGAAAAAAAAACACTATCTAATGGATAGTTCTCACCTGCCCAACCCTCATCAGCATCAGTGTCCAGATTGTCTAGCTCCTTTAATTCAGTGGCACTAACAATTGATGGCCTGTCTGGATCCTGATGCCATGGCTGAGAGGGAGGTTGTGCGGGTCTTCCAGGCCGTGGACCCCTAAGTGGAGAAGAGAGAACAACGTGAGAAGATGAGATTTTACAAAGCTCCTAATGTCCTGTAAGTCTCCCAAAATACCAAATTGTCTTGTTTAATAGAAATTGTCTTTCAAATGCTTCCAATTTCAACCTTTCCATCAAAAACCGATTAAGTTTTGTTTCAGACCATATGGGACCACTTACTTAGACATCTCCGGTGGTCCAGGGTATCTAAAGCTGCCTTGTACAGGAGGAAAAGACCCTCGAGGGTACGCATTAAACATCTGAAAAGATGCACATTAAATTAGCACAGCCAAATAAAAAATATAGCAGCATGCCACATTTCAGGAGGTAGAAGAAATTATAAACAATGGTTAAATAATCACTCACATATGGCGGCATCATGCTCCTGAACTGGGCAGCATGGAACTGCGATGACATCCCTCCTGGTGGTTGCTGGCCACCGTTAAGTTTATGCTGAGGGGCAGTAGGTGGGAGCCTGTCCCTTGCATCCCTCTTTTCTCTGCCCTCACCAGCAGAGGGTTTTCCTGACTCATCAGAGTCACCAGAGGGAGATGGTGTGCCTCTACCTATGCCCGACTCCTCAGAGGGCTTACTGTCAGTCTCTGAGGGGCTGGGAGCAACATTTAAGTTCCTGCCTCCACCTTCTCGCCAGCTACCCACATCTAGTTGGTAATAGGCATTAAAGACCAGGAAAAAAAATTATCATTAAGAAATTGTTGAATATTATTTAAAACGGTTCTATCAAGGATGTTACACAAAGCTTGTGAGTAAAAGGGGAAGACGATTACTCTGAGGCCTGAGGCTGGGGCCCGGTCCATAGGGCTCATCTTCCTGATCGCCTGATTTATCCACCTCACCAGCCGCCTGCAGACTCGGAAACTCCTGATGGAACTGACTGCTCATCCGAGGAGCTCCTGCACATACAGCGCCATTGAAGCACTTGGCTTTAGAAGTTTAAACTCATAATTTTGATAATTCTGCTCCTTAAATTTTCTTAGATAAGGATTTACATTTCAAAGAGAAGTATTTTGAGAATACGCTTACAACAAATGAAAGGGTTTACAGAAGAAAAGGCTTACCATCCAGCTGCCCAGGCTGTTTGCTGTTGGCCCAGGAGCGGCTGCCACCCAGAGGGGCATCAGGGGCCTGGGGCACAGTTGGCTTGGGTTGTGGTGGAGGGGTCTCTTGCTGCCTATAATTATAAGAACTGTCAATGGAACACCGAAATCTAAAGAAGTATGTTTGGAACAAGAGTGTTATAACTTCCAAAACTAATCTTGCAACAGGCAATACACCCATCATTTAAAATGTAGTGTTACCGTTCGTCTCCTGGTTGATCCTGTCTGGAGGCCCATCCGCTGCCGTCTTTGGGTACGATGCTGACGTTGGGATCGTTGCCTTTGTTCTCAGCTTTCAAGCTGGGCAGGTTAGCTGGAGGGGGCATGCGACGACTAACGGCAACTTTACCCAAACTTTGGAGCCCATGTCTGGCGGCAACTAAGGAGGAAAAAAAAAAATACATTTCATCACCAAAATTTAACAAGAACATCATTAATTGTAGCTATAACCTTATAACAAATGTTTTGAGCACTCTCTTTCTGCTAAAGCTTATAGGAATTCACAGTGGGTACTAAGAGGACAAAGGCTGCTTATTTGATCCAGCAACGCACAGGAGGCTGATTGGGGAGCTCAATAAAAGACAATTCAACAACTTCATTACATCACTTGACAGTTGACACTCTTCTCAATAAACAATTCTAATACTAAGAGTTGGTTGGAGTGCAAATTGTCATGAGTTACACTTAATTTTGGCACGTTTTGAGACATTTCACCACAAAATAAAGATAGTTCATTGTCTGTGTTAAAAGCTATTGCATTAATTATTGTATTTAAAATCAAATGTAAATGTTTTTCACTGTTTGCTTATTTTTCTCTAATGCAAAATATAGCCAACAGTTTACCGCTTTCAATTTTGAGGGGAAATGTTCTTGACAGGTTAAGAGAGATTCACTCCACTACCAAGATCTTGGTAATTAACAACATGTAAGAATGATCAGTTGACTCACCTGCAGTTTTCTGGGTCTCCAGAGACTTGCCCTTATACGTGTTGAAAAGGCTAAGGGTTGCATACTTTGTTTTGCCATCCTTTGCCTTGGTGCTCTGCCCTGACTTCTCGGACATTTCGCTGGAAACTCATTGAGTCTGGTCCTGCGGCCTCACCCCTCAGAACCAGCCCCTAAGAAAGAGACCAAGAAATGAAAGACTGGAATGAGCTGTCAGTAAAACCAGATAGTTTCTCTAATATCTATCAGCACCTCTGTGTTTCAAGCTATATTTCCTGAGCAAGCTACAATGCAATAAACTAGAGGCTAGAGCTGTCACGACAACCACAATCTTGCAGTACCACGCTACAGACAGGCCAACCACAGAGGAACGCAAGTAACCGGAGCAACTGCGATATTTGCGCGATTGCTTTTTTCTTAAGGCTACACCCTTCGTACCATGTGTATTGAATGTTAAAAAATGTTAATAATAATAACAAGACTGTTTTTCATGGTGATTTGTACAGAGGCTTTGTGGATTTGGAAAAGGGATACTCCACTTTTTTTTTTTTTTTAAACATGCTCATTTTACAACTCCCCCAGAGTTAAACTGTCAAGTTTTACCTTTTTTGAATCCATTCAGCCGATCTCTGGTTCTGGCGGTACCATTTTTAGCATAGCTTAGCATACATCATTGAAGGGTACACGACCATTAGCATTTCTCCCAGAAAAATTACCAAAGTGTTTCGATTTTGTTCCTATTTAAAACTTCACTCTTCTATAGTTACATCGTGCACTAAGACAGACGGAAAATGTAAAGTTGCGATTTTCTAGGCTGATATGCAGGGAACTACAGTCTCATTCCTGCGTAATAATCAAGAAACTTCACTGTCGTACCATGAGTGCAGCAGGCGCGATGACTACACAAACTTAGTCCCGGTCACGTTGGAAGCTGGTGACTATTTTCAGGTGCTGCGTCATAACATTATCGCTCATGGTACGACAGTGAAGTTTCCTGATTATTTACGGAGTCACGTTCACGTATGCAATCCGTAATCCGTCATGCCCTGCCCCAATAAAGGCGTAACTTTACATGAATTAAATAAAACAGACATGAATGAGTGCATGTTGAAAACAAAAGTGCTGAATTTATCTGTTGTATTTGTTCACCAGTCTCGAAAAAAAAGTTTGTTTATATTGCTGAGCACTCACTGGGTTGATGATCAGGAATGTTCAGAATCAGGCCACTGAATGAAATTTTTGACAAGATTATCTTGTTTAAACACCCTAGATTATATTATCATTTACTATAGCAATTATTTTGCTAATACACATCTAAATATATACCGCTTTGTGGAAATTAATTATTCATTATCTGCGCGCGCAATCGCATTTAAGTAGTATGTTAGTTCTGTGTAATGCATAGATAAACAGCACTTTGTCAGAAAGCATTTCATGATCTAGACCAGCGGTCGGGAACCTATAAATGGCTCGTGAGCCACACCTGGCTCTTTGGCAAAAATCATGTGGCTCGCGAGATCTCTCACCCTTTACCAACAAACGAGCGATACAAAAAAATAAGACACATCAATACAGGTCTCTCAACAGAAAAATCTGCCAGTTACAATTCCCTTGTAGCACAGTCTACCGAAGTTAGTTAAACGTTTATGATAATTAAATTCTTGTACCGGCAAAAGTGCGTATTCAGTGCTGGTCGCGCTCGTGAGTATTAGTCATCAGAGAAATCAACTTGTGTCTGTGATAACCCACAGCTCCTGCACTGGGATTCAAACAGCTGCAGCTTTTTTAAGGTATGCCTAGTGGTGAAAAGCAGCAAAAATGTAAAAGAAGGCTATAAACTTTATTACTTTCACTTTTGCCGCCTAAAACCTTTATGACACATGATAAATGGGTCGTATTTTTGATAATCCACGCAGATTTCAGTTGACGATTCTGTTTTAAGTTATTAATAACCAAAATTGAAGGAATGAAAAGAGCAGGATGTGCTTTATAATGAAAAGAAATATTAAAAGCGCGATAAGTCACGAAAGAGAACAGAATTACTGGCAGGACGCTGTGCGCGCGCGCCCCGAGCGCAACACAGAAAAGCAGAGTAACGTTAGGCCTTTGTCTTCAGTTGCGCACCAAAACGGCCAAACAAATACAGAAACATATCAAATGCCAAGTCGAGTATTCACGTAAACAGTAGATTTAAGGACTGTGTTCTCTCTCACTCTAACTCACTCTCTCTCACTTACGCAGACAGAAAGGATTTATGCTCATCAGTTGATAACTCAACCTCACAGTGAAAGCCCTTCACAATTAATATTGAAACTTTGCTAAAAATTGTAATAGTTTGATTTTAGCCTAATACTGTTGAAATTTTATTGAAAAAAAGCACGTCTTTAATAATAATATTATATGAATATTTTCCTGTGGCTCTTTTGGAAAAATGCATAAACCAAAAATGATTCTTTGGTCAAAAAAGATCCCCGGCCTCTGATATGACTCCCCTGTCAATTATATTCTCCATATGAAAACATTAGACTTTTAACATATATTTTGCCTATTGTCAACATTGTTGCCGCTGATGCTTATAAATTATATGTATAATCTAGATATAAATTATATAATGTAATAATATAAATGTTTTTTATTGTAATTTGAAGATTTAATTTAACATGAAAGAGGGAGAGATTGTTATAAATAAAATGGTTTGTTCAGTTCATTTGTGTTGTAATAATTGTGTGAGAACTTGAGAAGTAAAAGAAGTATAACAGCAAATGCAAATCGGTTCTGCATATCGCTTATCGGGCACATAAATATGCAAATAATCGGTATTGGTTATAAAAAACCAATATCGGTCGATCACTAATACAGTGGCTACTTACATTTTTCTTAGTGATCTCCAACACCAATTTTTCAAGAAGTGACAATTTTGTTATCTTCAACACAATGGATGGAAACAGTGCTTTATTCACAATTTTTTTATGCGATATTTCAATTTTGTGCACAAGTTAAATTCACAACTTTGGATGGAAAAAGCTAGGCTGTTGAGCAACTACAGAGAGAAACCGACAAATGTGCATGTGAGCAAGCAATTCTCCGTAAACACAGCATTTGCAAATGATAGCCTTTATACTTGTTTCACAATATTACTACATTTCATTTAGTGCTTCAAACTGGGAGGTTTATTTAAGGACAAGGCCCGAACTTGCAGAAAATAACTAAAACATTTAAGTCCACAATCAGTCTTTTATCAAACTTTCCAACTTCCTGCTTGAGGCAGAATCTTATGTGATGCTGAATATATTTTAAACACACTAAAGATTTCAAAATATCGACCAAATAGTTTGCCTTAACATACGTAAACATAGTATCTATCTTGTCTATAATTACTAGTTACGTGTCATTGAAGCAGATGGACTGCAAAGCAGGGAACTACACTAACCTTTTCCACTGGTGGCATTTGCGCTACTAACTTTTTCAGTTAATGGTGCAAAACATGATTTGGTCGCACAAATTATTTATAGTAAGCCGCACTCTGGATAGTAATGAATAATACTGAAACTGCATTAGGGGTGGAACGGTACAGAAGTCACGGTTGGGTCGGGTTCATACCTTGGTTCAGACATTCAGACGGTTCGGTACGATTCGGTACAATGGAGTGAAAAGCAAAACAAAAATGCAGAAGGCATTTTTATAAATGTCTTAAGCCTCGTATTTTTTAAGTTGTTTAAGCTTTATTAATAAAGGAACCAGTTTATTTGTAGTGCACTGACAATAGTTTTATATAATTCGTTTATTAATTAAATTAATAAAAAGACAAAATGACCTTGATATTGCAAATTGCAAGTACAATTACCAAACATATATTTCAGATCAATATATTTGTTTTCCTTAATTTTAACTAACCCTAACTTTATTCTCATCTGAATTATAAATACATGATTTCCGTATAAAATAATTACCATTAAAACACATTTGATTTTCTTTTTTAATCAATGTAGAATCATACGCAGGACTGTTGAAAAGCTGTGATGTAGACATGTGCCGGTATTCGGTAATGCGATAAATCGCGGTAATGAATATGCACGATATTGTTAGAGGGCTCTTCAAAATACCGTGAAAAATAATAGATTCGAATTTAGACTTTTAGAGCGCGCATTAGCTTATTTTCCATCAACCGCTCAAACACTGCGTGCTGCGCAAAACACGGACGCACTCTGATGTAAACAATCCCCACATGTATAAGCACTGTGTGCATGCGGCAGTGCGCACTAGTCTAATGTAAACAATCCTCACATGATGAAGAAGCATGGCGGAACGCTCCCGACGATATATCCCCGCAGGGCTGCCAACTCTCAGACATTCAGCTTGAGACTCAAGCTTGAGACTTTCAGACAGGACGCGGAATGCGCGCGACACGCAGGAATGTTTTGTTGCTCCGCCGACCTCGACCACGCCGTGGTTAAAGTTCAAAATAGTTAAACTTCTTATTTTAAAATGGCAAATCGTGTTGTATCTGAAGGGCAACGTTGAATCAAGCGGCCAGCGTCGCGTATTCCGCGTCCTGTCTGAAAGACGATTAATGCATTTGACACTTTTCACATGCTCTCCCACAGAGAAAAATCACAGAGCAAAGAGGACACTGACACCGACAGACTAGACAGAGCAGGTTACTTTTGATATGAAAGTTGTTATTGATAAATCAGCTCTTAGGTTCTGATCACAGATCGTTGCTCCTCAGTTCAAGTAAACCGGTCATGTTACTTTAGTTTTTATTTAAAGATACAGTACAACTTACCGAAAGGTATATTTACTTGTACATAATAACGATCAATCAGCGTTTTCAAACACGGAAAGAGGTCAGTAACACTGCAGGAGAACTGTTGTCACAAAACGTTACATTTACCTCAGGAAAGCCATTTAATGACCAGCACATTAGTTGACTAGGAAAAAATAGCAAGGAGTATTTTGCTAAATATTATATTTAATTTCTCTCTGTATGTTTACAGCAGTATGTGAGAGATTTTTTTCTTGAGAAACATTAACAGACTGGGGCTTACCTAATATTTATCCAAATGAGTCAATATTGAATCAAGACTGAAATCAAATCCAAGAATTTAATTGAATAATACAAACCGTAACCTACCAGTCATTGTACCATGTAAACATTGTAACACGTTGTCAC